GGCATCGTCACGGTCACGGCCGAGCACCCCCAGGTAGGGGCAAGGGCCGCCGCAGCCGCCTCTCCCCGCCGCCCCTCGGCACCCTCCTTACCTTCTCTCGGGAAATACGTGGAGGGACAGGACACGGCGGCCCACAGCCCACTCCGAGGCCCTGCTCAAAATTTTGTAGAATTATCACCACGGAATTTCTCGTCAAATAGACCTACAGCCGCTGGGCCTGGCGTAGTATTTTAGTGCTGTTTGGGGCCGTTTTCAGCACAGCCACCAGCTTCCTCCTCTTGTATTTCTGTTCCCCGAGATCCCTCTTTTCCCCTCCAGTCCCCCGGTGGTTTCAGGAGCCACGGCCCATCCCCTTCGCCGCCCCGGCACCCGTGTGGAGGACGCTTTCCAAACTTTTTCTAGCTCCCCGTTCAGAGTGCACGTCCCACACCATTCCAGTCTGTTTGCGGTGGAGCCGCAAAAAGAAGGGGTGGGGGCAGCCCTTCTGTGTTTTTAGGGTGATATTCTTGCTCTATATGAGACAGAAATGATTCCGAGCGTGCAGGAGAAGCATGTCACATTTTATTTGTGTTCTTGTAAAATTTCTTCATAAAAGGGTACAGTTTTTAGGCTGAGTATAACATTCAGTATTTTCCAAGTATTTAACAGACGATACCTGCCAGCACGCAACTGTCAGTCTAATGGGATCATCTAACAGTCTCACACTACACTGATGGTATTTTCCAGGTGTTCACTGTTGAAGAAATGATGCCCCACGTCCAACACATGAAAGGCGCTCACAGTAAAAACCTTTTTCTTAAAGACAAAAAGAAGAAAGGGTTCTGGCTGGTGACTGTTTTGCACAACAGGCAAATCAGTTTAAACGATCTTGCTAAAAAACTGGGTGTCGGAAGTGGAAACCTAAGGTTTGCGGATGAAAATGCCATGCTGGAAAAACTCCACGTGGGCCAGGGCTGTGCGACACCCCTTGCCCTCTTCTGCGACCAGGGAGATGTGAGGTTTGTGCTGGATGCTGCCTTTCTGGAAGGTGGCCATGAAAAGGTGTATTTTCATCCAATGACAAATTCTGCAACCATGGGCTTAAGCCCCAGCGACTTTCTGAAGTTTGTGAGATCAACAGGCCATGATCCAATCATCATACATTTTGACGAACACATGAAGTAGATGCTGTTTTCTGTCACTAGGAACTGATTTTGTAGAGCATAAAAGCAAAATTGGTGAAAGTCTCATTACTTAAAAGTTTTTAAAGTTCTGTCTCCTTACCATTAGTAAAATTGCCAATTATGTTTCTACTTTTTAAAAAATTGTGTTTATATTGTATAATCTGGTGTGAAAAAAATACTGTCCTGGTTTATTAAATGTTTTAACAGAGTATCTTTTGATGGTTTTAAGTTTATATTGGATAATCTGGCGAGGAGAAAAAAAACACAACCGTCTTTGTGGTATTAGATGTTTTAACAGAGTATTCTTTACAAGACAAGACATGTTTGCAATCTGCCACTAAGTAACCAGTAAGTAGAGAAGGTGTTATTTAAAGGATGTTATAGTCTTTATTAATAAAATGGAGAAATCTGGAGCTTTCTGGTTGTGGTACTGGCCTTGAAGGTTTAAACTTCAAAGAACAGTATCAGGAAATAACAAATTAACTTCAAGTTCTAAAATATTTGTCAGTACACACAGGACAGATGTTTAGATTGTGTACCCGTACCCATTCATCCCCTGCTACATACTGCTTTCTTTTTATTACTTTTTACCTAGAAAAAATTTACCATTTGCCTATGCTACGGAAAACGCATTTGATTGTCTATGTTTTTAGTTGCGTTTTCAGTCTCCTCCCCTTGGGAGATGATGTAACCTGCTGGTAACTGCCCCATGATGAGAGGCACAGGCCTTGCTCATTTTTAGAGCCCCCCATAAGGGGCAGGACACCTGGTGTCACCAGCCAGCCACAGCTTGGGGGGAGCCAGGTTGCTCCACGGAGTAACATTACTGTGGGTTCCTGACCCTGTGTCGTTTGTCATGGGGACAGCTGGCACAGCTCATCTCTCCTGCCTCAATGTATAAAAACCCTCCCAACATTGCATGTTGAAGGAAGAAGTGGCAGAAATTGTGCAGTCCAATAGACATACTGTGGTAAGCAGAACCCCCACAACACCTGAAGAGGGGAGAGGTGAAAGTGAGGGACAAAATCTGAAGATGACGGGGAAAAAGGCTTTCGAATGGACCCTAATGGTCATGTACAAACTGTGCCACAAGGTAAGTGGTAGTGTCTACACAACGTGGGACAGAATGGAAATAAAGATTATGGAAGAGTGAAGAAAAAAAACCATAAAAAGCCTGGCCATCTCAGATGGCTGTTTGCTGCTGCACCATGCCACAGGAGGCAAAGTGAACTGAGGAAGGGGAACACTTGGCAAGGAATACAGGGCAGAAACAAGTCCATCAGACTCGGTTCCATTCCAGACGGCCAGTAGAGTTCTGCAAGCTGAGAATATAATTAACATGGATTGGGTTTTTTTCCCCTGTAATGAAATCTTTTAATTCTACAGAATGAACAGCCCCCATTAACAGAGTAAGGAAAAACATCTTCCAGGGCAAGGCAAGTTACTTAACAACCATCCTTGCCATGGTTTCCTTAATTTCTGAAGGATTTGGCTGCTGTTCTAAGGTGGGAACTTTGAATACTTCATACACAGCAGTTGAAATCCTCCCCTCCACCTTCAAATACATGAACCAACCCCCCCCCATCTATCACAGAGTCATCTCAAACGGGAAAGAAGTGACCTAAAAGAATCACTAGACATGTCCAGATACATGTGATTTTACATTTGTTAAGTGAAAGACTGAAAGGAACATCTGGTATTAGTGAATATTGGGTTAATTAATAAACTCTGGATTGACAAATGTATTACTAAATTAGCTAGATATTAAGATACAGTCTTATGTGTCTTTAAAAGTAAAATTTATCTTACCCTCAGCCTTTCACTTACTCTCTCTCCCCTAAGGTTTCTTCTTTGTGATACCCCAAAATCCTTTAGCACTTAAGTATTGAATTTGACTCATCAAGGTTTTTTTTAATCCAGAAAGCTCTAAATGTGAAAAATTGAGACATGTGCACAATAGCAATTTACTATGCTTCACAAATCTTTATCTCTAAAATTTAACTACCTCTGTCCTCCCAAGAGATGCTGAGACTTGTCTCATCAAAAATAACAACTGAGGAAAATCAAAATCAAAGCTTTAAACTACATCTGGCAAATCTAGAATGATTTCTTTTTGTATTTACTTATGAAATTAGTGGGCTTTTTTTAAAATAATATCAAAATAGCATCTAGTTAAAAGCTACACTGGCCTACACAAATAAACAACACAAAAACTACACACTGTCCAGAAAAATTCTGCTACAGTTTTATCATTTTCCTTCCAGAAGAAATACTCACTGAACACATCACCAACTGACCACAATGCCATTACTTCACACCAATATCCTTCCAGTAACATCAGTTTCCAGAAAAAAAGTGTGTATAAATGTACACACAAAATAAGAATAAAAATTATTTGGTTTGGCATTTTAATAACATCATTAATAAATGTATACAATGGCAAACATTAAAAAAAAATCAGTATGTAAAGGAAATTACAGTTTTAAATAAGAGCTTTTTAAGTTTTGTTTGACACCTAGGTACATTCCTTTAAGGCAGTTTTATTAATATCAAAGCATTATTTACATATACATTATCCTCTAACTCTAAAAGTCATACATGAGCTCCTTTGTTGAGGCTGCATCATGTCTTAGAAAAAGTTCAGAAATAATACATGTTGGGGATGTTACTAAACCCTCAGCAGACTACCAGAAAAGTAAATTAACATTATACATTGTGTAGTACTACAACCTCTTTTGTAATCTTGAACTAGCAGTGACAGATTTGGCAACTCTGGGGGTAAAAAGCTGGGTACTCCCCTTGTATGCTGTCCAACAGCTGCTGTGTTCCTCCCCTGGGAGTTTGTGTCTGAGAAAATGCCAAGCGGCTCCCAAATTAAATTTCTGTTTTTATTTTATTTGAAGGGTACAGACTGAAAAGATTAAGAAAGGAAAAAAAAATAATTTAAGAATCATCAAAGCACGGAGAACACCCTGACCACTCTTCTGCTCTGAAACTTCTTTGCCAGAGAAAGTGCGGAGAGAAGTAAATTCTGATTTGTTAAATGCAAACCCTGTCTATGATGGCACACATGCTTTCAGAAGATGTAATAATACACAAAAAGCAGGTGTAGAAGTTGCACCGGGTGCTCTTGGCCGACTTAAGGAACAGAGAAAGGAGATGAGCTAACAACTGTGACGTCAGGAGATGCCTGCAGGTTACGTGTGCCCAGCAGCGCTCCTGCTAACACACCACTCCCACCTAACTCCCAGGGCCTCACAGAGCCTACCCAGACACACAAAACTGCTCGGGTGCTCAGAATACAAACAGCATTTGGCACTACAGTTTACATCTGTAAATTCAAGACACGTACGTTCTTCTAACGACAGGAAGACTACTGAAGGGCTAGTGTTTGATAGCTGGAAATGCATCAGCCCGCTGCTTCAGAGAGCGCTAGGAGAATTCACTCACAATCAGACCCTGAAATGAGCTTGAGAATACCATCGTTTACAAAATTATTTTCCTAACATTTGGGATATTTCATTCTCTTTCATAACAGCTATGCCTTTAGTAAGTGCAACCGGCATTCTAGACTGCAAACCTTTGCTTATCAATTTTGAAAAGGCAACTTTTCCTGCACTCTGTCACTACCTTGCAGCACCCGAGTGGCACAGACACGAACAAATTCTTCCTGCTTAGAGCGCTCTCCTCCTGGAGCACACCAGGGCTCGGACTGTCTCACCTGCTACTGGGGAAGAAACTCAGCTGCCCCCCGAGCTCCCAAGTGTGCAGGAACATCCCGACTGCCTGTACAAAAAAGGCCCTGAGCCATAGCACCTCTCCCAGCCACTGCCATCACCCCACCTGCCCCACTGGTAACATCTCGCAGCATGGCTTGGAATGCCCTGAATCCTCCTCAAAAACCTCACACAGTGCTCCAAATCCTTCACAACAACGTTACGGGATCAGTTACGATACGGGAAATTATTCCATGCAGGCAGCAACAGCAACAGCATCCAGTGGAGCTGGATTTCAGGAGTACTCTGGGCTACAGATCACTCCCCTGAGACTGCTGATCTGTGTTGATACTCTGCAAAACTCACCATGCGGCCACTGAAACCCGTGAACACCTTGACACTGAGAATAAGGGATCACAAACAGATGCTAGTAGGCTGGCAGTAATCAAAAAACCCCAATTATTTTAATGAAATACCAGAAATGTTTTCAGAGGAAGACTGCAAATTCTGTATGGTGGAAAGCTGCAAGATGGGTCCTATTTTCACTCAAAAACCCCCCTCAATAATGTTTAAATTCTCTGTGAAAACAATCCCAGGCTGAACCAAGTATTTTAACCGTAAAACTAAAATAATCTGTTTAGATCTAGACTTTTATGCACATTTTACCATCACAAATATTTCAGAAGGAAGTCACTTCAAGGAAAAAACAACAGAAACCATTTCCCCTTCTAAACTTTGCTCTTTTCGTCCCCTTTTGGACAAAATTTCAGTAAAAATCAAAAGATGACTTGCCAGTATGCTTTGGATCTGTTGAACTGCTTTCTCTCTCCAGTGAAAGATTATTCCGTTCTGCCTGTCCCTGACAGCTGGAGACTTTAGACGCGACAAAGCCTGTGAAAGCTGTTTGGGAGCTGAGGAAGCTGTAGCAGCAATGCCAGTGTCAGCAGCAGTAGGCCCCACATAGAGGCAGTCTGTGTCCCTCCTCTTGTTTACACCTCAGCCTTACCTTCACTGATGCCACTGGAGATAGCTGGGAGTGAACTGATCTATGTGACTGCTGGTGGATGGGACACGAGGAGGTTACCCACTTCACCACCCTTTAGAACAGGAATATAAATGCGCTTACCGGTTTGTCATGAAACATAAATCTGGTAACTCATTTTGGATCTGCTTGTAAGCTCGTGTACACCACTTCCTCTGAGCTCTCTGCAAATGCTTTCACAACAACAAATGTATGCAACCACTGATTGTACCAAGAACATTGGTTGACTTTAATATAAATCAATAATGAACAAAATGTATCTTACTAGTAAAAGAGAACCTTAAGGGGAACCGATTGTAAAATGCATATGATATTATTTACATTTCTTTTTGCCATCAAGAAACCTCCTAAGCCACAATCAGCTCATGTCAACAGACAAACAATTTAAAAAAACTCAGTCAATACACAAACATTGTAAAGACAGTCTTATCCTGGAAATGCCATTTGTTGAAAACAGCCTTATATTAAAATAAAAGTTATAGAAAACTCATACCTGACGATTTCCTGCCAGAAACATCTGAACATATATACGCAGAATAACTTGGGAATGTGAAAAACACAAATGACAAACAATTTCTATATAATACGATTATCCCATGACTCCCACTTTTGTTAGTTGTCGAACTTTTTCATGTATGTAAACAGATTTTTCTCTTGCAGTATGCAACAAAAATCAGCATAGACTTTTTTAAGAGCAATTTCATGCAGATTATGCTAACCAAATAAGGCAGTGAAGTGCCAGTAAGCCGTGAGGTTTTTGTATCTGTATATACAGTCAATTTCAACAAAATACTACAGCATTTACTTTAGATTTACAGAAGTAAATATAAACTGCTAGTTACGGGCTTTTTTAGCTAACTATTAGCAGAAGCTTAAGCAAATCAGTGGCTAATCTCAGAAACAGAAGATGAAAGAAGTTTTTTGTGGTTTTTTTTTTTTTTCCCCTGGAGTAATTCTTGAGACCTTAAAATTCTTGGTCCTTAGGGAGATGAGAACTGTCCTTTATTCAGTAGATCTTAACAGTGCAATGTGCAATAATTCCTAAGACCATCTACAAATTTTCGGCAGTAGACTCCAGTAGAGAGAGCTCCTTGATTCAAGGAAGGAAGGTAGGTAGGTAGGTTTTTAGTTCTTGCCTGCTCTAGTCACGAAGAATGTAAAAAATTCCCTTAATTTTTATTAATGATTCCTACAGTCGCTGTCTTGTTACTTCAGATATAAAGGCTTCATACTGAGATACTGAAGGACACTTTTCTCTCTGTGTACAGTCGAAAGGTAGAAAGAGAAAAGAACATAAGAAAAGCTTAAAGTGTAGAAGTATAAAATACAGAGTTAAGTCACTAACAGAACTAACAGCACTAATAGCATGCATCGAAGATGTTTTAATGAAGTCAAGAGAAGGACAGAATGCCAAAGACAAGCTTTATACAAAGGCAGTTTCCTTGTCGTATAGACTAGTTGGTTTTGTTAAACTATTCTTTTAGATTTATTTATCTGTCCCTTTCTAAGAACTGACTTCAATATTACTTCTTAATGTAATTTCTTTGAACTTTCAGGAGATGAGAAAAATAAACTGTCGTTTTTACAGGCAAAAGGCTAAATGGGATGAAGTTCCCTGCATACACAGGCAAAATAACTGCTGAAAAACAACCTGTTCTGGCTTAACTAATAAGCAAGACAGAAGCCAGTTAAGCAAGCAGTATTTACATCTGGTTAATGCAATGTGCACTTGTTCTTATATGTAATGCTGTTAGTTTTTTGTAAATGAAATTAATCTCATTTACATTTTGGGCAGGAAACTCACCACTTGGCCCACATCTCATGTAGTGGGTAATAGAATTAGGAGCTTTGTTGCTCCCTAGACCTGCTTTTTGAATTTCTGCTTTCTGGGATAGCTTCCACATCTGCAGAGAAAAGCATTTCATGTTATTCATTGTGTTCATCAGGACATGAAAAAAAACCCCTCATGCATTAACACACATTCTACTTATTAGTAGAGCAAAAGGATATAATAAACACTTTTTTATATATTTAGAGGAAAGGACAGAGGAGAGGGATGGAAGAAACCCACTAGAAGTGCCTATTCAACTACACTCGTTAAAATTCATCTTAGCATTTAGAATAACCAGGTATTACTTTCAAAGCCACAATCAGACAGACTTAACTTTTAGAGACACTAATCCTAAATTTCTGCCTGTGTGAAAAGAAAAAAAAAAATCAGATGTAATCATGACTGAATGAACCTAGCACAGAACTTAACTCATCTTTGCATTTTTACCTGCTACACAGACAGAAACGTTCACATTCAGTTCTGCAAAACAGAAAAGGATCTTGCATGCAACAGCTTGAACGTGCAAAATGCAGAATCTCCATTTACTGTTCACTTCAAGCAAAGCATCAAGCAAGCCTTGAACTGCAAGCAAATTATTGAGCCTGAACAACAAAACCTTTTTTGGCTGGCAGCCACATATTCAGTATTTATAATTACCATGCAAAGCCCTAATTTATCATTTTTTTAAAGGCAGCAGGGACCAAGGCATAAGCAAAGTGCATCTGAATGGCCCGGGAGTGGTAGTGACTGGGTCTGGAAGGAACTTCATGGATCCTGTCACCAGTTGAGCACATACAGAAAGAGTCATCCATTATGTATCTATTGTTAAAGGGTAAAGACCAAAAAGTGGAGAAAAAAAAAAAATTCCTTTTGTACATGAAAACATTTATTGTCTTTTATGTGTAAGAAACAAATGTTGACAACTCATTTTTCAGTCAAGTGAAAAAGTCACTAGCAGCACGCTGCCACTGCATTACCTGAACTCAATGGAGCAAAACCAGGAGCACAAGAAGTTATTATCCTCGTAACTCAAAATGCAATTCCTTACAAATGTACAAAGCCATGCAAAATTGTAGCTTGAGCTGGACAAGGTTAGTCTAGATCTAGGATCTGAGACACTAGTGTTCAAAGACACTAACACACTCTGTTATTCTGAAGCCCTTCGTGCTTAAGAGAGAGGCTGTTTTAATGCTGTTGTCCCCCCGCCCCAAAGGAGTGAAGTAAAACACAAGCTAAACAGGCATTAAATATCAGACATAAATATTCACTGTCAGATTTGGTTTGTATGTGAAAGCTCAGTGCTGTGAAAAGAAATGAAACAATGCCAACTGAAGTGCCCCACGGGCAGTGGCTGGAAAAAAATGTACTTCATTGCCTTGATAGTGAGCTTTAACTTCACCCCACAGGCTTAACCTTTAAAATTTATTTTTAGGCATTGGCCTTGCTCACGATTACAATCAGGGTTCAGTGGTCATGCTGGAGAGCTCATAATAAACATAGCTAGAGATAATGCTGGTATTTTCTGTTGCTGTGACAGTCTAAGGACATAATCAAGACAAGGCTGGCAAATGAGATAACAGCGTGCCTGAAAGCTTATCCCATCTCTCCAGCAAGAGCAGGTGATCTAAACAGAAGATACTACCTCTAGCAACAAACCTTGTTCTGCTCATAACAAACAGTCTCACTGCAGGACACAGGCTTGCAATCAGTTAAGAAAAATACAGATACTGGTAGCACAGGGTGAGTTCATAATAAGTACTATCAGAGCTACGAAGATTTTCTCTCTAATTCCTTAAATAACTTGAAAAATGTATTATGCACATCAGCTAACAGCACTGTTCAACTCAAAGCTAATTCAAACACATCTACAGATGAACAGAAATGAAGCCCAACGCCATGACCCACAATCAGAACACTGACCTCACTGTGGGCGAGTAAACGCTGGTGAAATTAAGATTCTATTTCACATTTGGATTTTTTTTCCAAATGAGACAAATTCCAGCAGGGATACAGCACTAACTAACAACAGGCTGTGAACAACCTTGAAGAGAAGGGAGCAATTTATCAGTCCCAACCTAAGGGATGCCTGCAGACATGCTAAAGGATGGCTGCTTTGCATTTTGAAACAGTAATTTTACCCTCCACAGAACGTCTCTGAAACATCCACCTTGAGCTGTAGCTGGAGCTCTGGAAGGAGCTATCCCTGCACTTATTACCAACTCTCCTGTGTGAAATGGAGCCCTGCCAGAGTGACCTACTCCTCCCAGAAGGGGCTGTGTGCCTGCAGCACCTCTACCCCTTCCCACTTCGACACTAAAGGACTGAACTGCACCCCACACAGCAGCACCATCACTAACACCAAACTGCTATCAAAGTCAATTCAACTGTAAAAGTCAGAATCTGACATCCATTATTTTTAATATTTAATTTCAATTCTAAATATATTTTCCTCTAGATGTACTTTTATTCAGGTTTTTTATAGCATATGTCATTTTGGCCTACAGTGTCAGTATCTATTTTCTCGTGCAAAAAATCGCTAACATCTAAAGCCTCATGTAACTGTAGTTTAAGTTAAGATAAACTTTTAAACTCTGTTTACATTTATGATTAAGAAGCTTCAAGCAATTGCAGAGCCTGTGGTATATTAAGTAATAACTTTTCAACATTCCTCTTTGATCACCTGGAATTTTATGAGTTACTGGCTTAAGCATTCCTATAAGTTTGCAAGCAAGTTTTTGTTATTTTTTGTTTTGTCTTAGTGTGTTAATTTAACATTTTCCTGTTATTTTTGTTACACATCTTGTTTTCTATTATATTAATGTTACTTCTATTAAGAAGAAAAAATGAATTTCCACCATAATCAATACAGGTTTTTATTACCATACATCACAAGGAGTCTCTTGTAACTCTGTTATTTGACTCCTAATAAAACCATACACTTCACCAGATTTGTACACCAGACGTGGAAAGAGAAAGCATACAAAAGGGAAAAGGTGGAAAGGGTCATTTTTTCATTACAAGTGCTGCACATCATGTGACTACTTACTACCTCTGCATAAGAATTATCATTTATGTTAAGGATTATGAATGGTCTTTGTATTTATTTTCAAGTATTTTAATAAACATGAACAGTAGTTTAAATTTATTGTGCAAGCTAGAGGCACTGAATTATTGGGCTCTAAGTTGTTCCTTGTGCAAAGTGCATTTATGGCAGGACATGGCATAAATGACAAGGGCAAGACACTGACATCTCACTAAATGCTTCTTTTCTTTAGTATCATGTTTGTGAAAGAACAGGTGAAAAAAAGTATTTTTACCCCAAGTCCATAATCAGTGTGTTACTGACACATCTGAAAGCATGAGCACAACTGAAAAATACTGTCTTTGCACCAGAAATGATGTTGTGGAGCATGCTGTTTCTGGCAATGCAGCATGCAACTGGTTTAACATGCATTCAGTAATGTACAGCAAAAACCCCAAAATAACTGTAATGCATGACAAGTGAAAATAATAGCTTGCATTGTAAAGACTTTTAAAGGCATGCAAAATATATACAGTGCAATTAATGTTTCATGCAAACTTTGGTGAGGTTACAATTTTACATTCAGACATGCTAGAGTAAACGACTGAGCCGTATGTCTTTGTTCTCAGAAAGCCACAAGCCGCAGATCTAACACGGAATTATTTTTTCTTTGTAGTGAAGTTTTCGCTAAACCCAGCAGACACTGAGAAGAACACTTACATGTCACGTTAGGCTATATGTGTAGATATATATTTAACAATACAACTTCCTTATACACAACCATACTCGTACCAGACAGTTTGATTATCTTCAGAAACCAGCAGTGGGGCTTCAGCCTCACTGGTGTTCGCAGAGATGGCAGGACTGAATTCACTAGTTAGAACTGCCCGTAGGTCACTACAATCAGATCTCTGATTAGCAGAAGGCTGTTCCTGGCTTTTCGGTACTGATCTAAATGCTGACAGATTTGCCTGATCAGTTGTTCTGGATGTAGATCTTGGAGGCAATCCACTTATATTACTAACTAATTCGGTGTTAAGGGATAAAAATGGCTGAGCCACAGTAAATGACCCTGTGCTGTCATTACCAGATACACTGACTTTATCATTCCACACACTCGTGCTTAGCAAAGTTCTCTCACGAAAATCTGACCTTTCCATCCTTGAGGTCTTAGGCCCATCAGAGTTACTGCCTAGATGATGTGGTTTAACTGCCTTAGCTGCATTGCTTTGTGGTACATAATCTACTCTGTAAGCCAGACAGTGACAAAAATTAGAGGGTAACTGGTGTGCTGAGTACTCACTAGAGGCTGCTGGAACACTTCTGTCAGCGGTGGGTGGTGCTGGATCAACTGATACAGGTTGCCTACTGTCCTTAGACAAAAAATCATGGATGCTTGTCCTCCGAGTAGTTCCTTCCGCCGTAGAAATCACGCTGCTTGCACGAGGTAAGGTAGCATAAGGATTGCAATCTCTTGATTGTCGCTGTGATACAGTTGCCTGTATCTTTTCTTTAACAGATTTGACCTTCCCTTGAGTGCCCGATGTAAATTTTATTGGAGAGCTAGTAAAGTAGGTATCTTCAGTTTTACGAAGGCTAGGCCTTACAAGTTGTTCTGGTTTAACAGATCGTCCATCTGAGAAATCAACTGTATTTTTCACACTTAAGGATCTCACAATACCACAACTGGCAGATGGCTGTTTTCTTAGCTTTTCCCTTCCTGTCAGCTCCACAGACTCAGATAAGCTTTTCATGACTTCATCTAAAAGATTCTCTTCACTTGCAGATTTCATCTGTCAAAAAAACCCGAAACATCAGTTTATAAATTGTCATTTTGACATTTCTTAAGCAAGCTTTGTGGACATAAATGAAAAAATTCTAAGAAGTTTTTTTAAGTTTCCAGACCTAAAAGCGGTATTAAACATTTACGGTACATACTGATGAGTTTTCTGTACAGCTTACAGGCAAGTACTTTGAAAACCAGGTGTCGGACAGATCACAACACTATGCAATTAACCTGGAGTTAGTTCCTGTAATCCTGATTAACTCAAGTTAGACGATCAAAACTTCAAGTTCACCTTTTCACTCACTTGACCTCTGTCATCACTCATCAACACTTCCCAGGCCATTTCATACACACTATTCTTTTGACTTATACTGATCACCCAGAGGTAAAACCTTAAGTTCTCTAGATGCTCAAATAATAAAGACAAGAATCTCAGGAAGTAATACAAAGCACAGAACCTTTAGGTACCCTTGGTGTCTAAACTTGCATCAGACAGATCCCAATTTTTTCTTTTTTGAGAAAAGACTTCAGAGCTAGAAAAAGCAGTTTAGGTGAATACTACTCACAGCCTCAGTGGGGAAAGACTGCAGTCTTTTTTAAACTGGTGAAAGAGACAATTTGGAAGCAATTCAGCCAAAGGCATTATGGAAATGCTCTGGTGGAAGACTGTAAAGAGACCTCTTGAATACCTTTCCAACCTGAATGATTCGTGCTGAAAGGGATTAATGAACAGCTGTGGACTAGACGATGACTCAGGTGGTTTCTTTCATTTCTGTTGCCAGAAGAGTGTTGTCTAATGCTTAGAAATCAAAAATCCTTGTCAGAGAGACAACAGATGAGAGATCACGTTATGTAACAAAAAATCCAGAAACACACTCCAGACTCAAGTCACAGACTACCTCCATCCATTCAGGTGGTAATGGGTATTTTTCAAGTCCAATTGTGTCATTAAAAATAGATGGAGTCTGATCCTTATTCTAGAGAGGTCCTCGTCACAGGAACTGCTTTATCTTAAGAACACTTTTGGGTTTTGGACAAATCTACTCAAGAAATTAGAATACTAGCAGAGACAAGGTGATTTTGGGCTTCTAACAAACCATTGTTGATTTACAGAAATATTCTATTTGTCTTACTCCTCTCAGATTTCAATGAACTCCAAGGTCATTTTTTTTGCCCAGCAGAGTTAAAAAGATGAAATCGAAGCAGACAAGAGTCTCTCCTAAGGGAATGAAGTAAAGCACCTTTTCTTTCCCGTTGATGTATGACAGATCTGACAACAGCTCTTACTGAAGACAACGGTTGAACTGGAAGAAGAGGAGTAAATCTACTTTGCATTTATGGCCTTCCATCTGAACTCTTGATGAGCGTAGCACACATCAGTACACTGGACAATTTTATGCCCTAGAGATTGACCATTTTACCAAATTCAGTGACCTGGAAAGGGTCAAGCTGAGAAATTCCAAGTCATTTTATGTGTAATACAACAAGTACAGTTTCTCAGGATTCAGTCCACACTACTGAATGCAGATGTCATCAGTATCTCCACCAAGTTTTAAAGCAAATATACTCGTTAAAAGTGTTAGGTTAGTTCTGTGTCCATATATGGCATAACACACAGTTAAAGTATTTTTTAAACTAACCTCGCTTGAGGTACTCTTGTTGCTTTCTTCTAAAAACTGTTGCAGGGTAACAACTTCACTTCCAGGAGAACCACTTTTGATGTGTTTTCCATGAGTATCCAGCGTTTCTGGCGTTCTTTGCTGGAGCACAGGACTGGACCGTGTATGCCCTTTCAGATACTGAATGGGACTGCTGCTGCTGCTAGACCAAGCCTCATGTTCATGCAGCAGACTAAACTCCCCGCTGCTGTGACTCTGCGGCCTGCTTTGATTGTTAACTGCACCTGCTTTTGGGGTACAGGGTATTAAGTATTTCCGTAAGAAAAACAACATATGAAAGCTGTTAAACAGTATAACCTACTCGAATCTGGAACATTACCAGATTCAGTTAACAGTAATTCCATTTAAAAAACTAAAAAAAAAATCGATTTGTCTTTTTTTACTCAAATCAAATATATTATGAATACAATTGCACTCCCCTGACTTACCTCTTACAGCTCTTTAAACGTGATGTGATGGCTTTTGAATTTAAAAAACACCTTTCACTTGTAATCTGGGCCCCCATCTACACAGCACCATATTCCAAGAGGCTAAAAATACACTTTCTCTCTTGCTCAGCATCACTAAGAAGCTCACACTCTAATATATTATTAATGAGTTTGACTTTAAACAAAATACAAAGGATGGAAAGAAAATATTTTTCTCCTAGTTTTTCAACAAGAACTCTTTAGGAATGCTACTTCTTCAACAGTTTCTGCCGTTACTTCTAGTTTATTACAGTTGTGACCTGAAGAATATGGCACTAAATGCAAAATAAATTCCACAACACCATTTCTTGCTATTTTTCAATAATTGTGAATTGCTAAAAAATACAGATGAGGAAAGAATTATTTCCTACTCCATATTACTCCTAAGAAATGAAGTTTGAGGAAAGATCCATTGTTTACAGCAGCAATTTCTAACACTGTATAGAAACTGGGGCAAGGACTACCCCAAAGAATCTTTTACAGAACGAAGTAATCAAGAGGCAGAAAATAAACTAATAAAAAACCTTAAGCGAGCATACATCTCTAAATTCCCAAAGAGATACTATTTAGTAAATACAAGCCATAAATATTAAAATGAAGTTTTGAGTTGGCAGCACTGTAGTCTAGCATGTGCAATGGTCTCCAGCTACAATGGCCCTTATAAACAAACATAGATCAAGGTTCATAATATATGAAATTTAGAGAATACAGTTAAATCCAGGAATGTTGTTAGTCTTTTAAAACCAAAATACAGAAGTTTAGAGGATGGTATTGCATATGCCATTTTTTCTGGTTTGTGTTATATGCTATAGAGCTTTATAGCAGTAGTGCACACGTAGTAGGATGCAAGGAGATGAAAAAGGGAGCAACTCCTCTGCTTAAAAATGTGCAATTCCTAAGGAATTGGGGGCAATTCTTATTCTGGAACATCATTACTTGGGTTAGGTTTGGTTCAAAATCGTTTGAAACTAATATGACCCTTTTAATATTTATTAAAAATGTTAAGTTCTCTTAATACTGGTATCCTTTCCTAATCAGGGGAATGAAGGCTCCAACATGCTTAAAGAAAAACATGCTGTGGTGTGTTGTGGGAGTATTTGGGTTTTTTTTAACCTATAGAGATGATCTTACAGAGAAAGTAATGGAAATGAAGCGTGTATGCAAATTCCCCTACAGCATACCTTTGACTTCATGGAGTGAAGCATTGTTATTGCTATTGCTAGTGGATGTTCTGCCACTATCAAGGCTGGCTGGTCTGGAAGCTAAATGGAAAATTAGGAGACACTGTGATGAACAAAATTTTAGCAGATGACATGGTACCTTTACATTCTGTTCTCAGAATGCTCAGAGGCAGGAATCATGCACTATTTCACAGGCTGAGCATGCCCATTGTCAACAAAGTGGTTTCTTACAGATCAGAAAGCGAAGGGATTTCCAGGCAGTCCAAGAGGACACTTTAGAAAAGGGCACTACAGGAATAGTAAGGTACAAGGGAGAGGAAGAGAGAAATAGAGTGTACATTTAGAATTGAAACTGACTGGTTAGTGGCAAACCAGGATTTTGGATGAAAGGATGGGCATGCAGAAAGCTGCTCGTGATTAGGTCACTTACAACAGATTTGACAAGGAACCTTGCACATTGTTGAAATGCCACGAACAGGAGGAGCAAGAGCATCTGCACAGATAATGTCCTGCACTCCTATCCAATACAAGGGAAATGCACTGTTATTATCTTCAAAAGCGTTTGTTGCTCATACTAATTTAAGTTTTTATACTAGGCTTAAAACTTCACGTCTAAATAATCTATTACAGCTTTCACTTCATAGCTTGGCTTGAAGGAACACGCAATGATTTTGTAAAACACGGTACATGACAAATTTAGGTTCCAGTGAACAATAAACATTGAAGACATCAGGCCAGATTTGGGTTTTTTAGGATTGAAATGACAACTTTCTATTTCACTGTTAACTCCAAATAAAATTTTTCCAAGGGAAAACGCTTTGATCCTGTTCAGATGCACTTCATAGATACTTTCTATTAGAGATATAGAACATCTATCTGATGCAGTAGTTCAGAAAGAAAAGAATAATCTGAAGAAATGATACTATCCATTCGAGAGATATGCAAATCACAGAAAGCATGCTCACTTGTAATGATGCCATTCACTTTTTTTTTTTTTGCAAACATCGTTAACATTCACATAATATATCCTTAATTCATTTAATTAAAGTTCACATCTTACCATGAACTCTTGATCCTGTACTAGAATCATCACTAATACCTTGTGGACTTACATCTTCAAAGGATGTAGTATCTATACACAGAGACATAAAAGACGATGTAAAATAAAACAAAATTGAAATATTACTGAAAAACTTATCATCTGGTAAAAGAAACAAAACCAGTTTTCCAACCAATCCATTTTTACTTAGGTAACATTCTGTAGGAAAAATCCTGAAGCATTTTATAATTGCAGTTATTAAACCTATTTGGTATCTCAGCACTGCAACTCGATTATTAAGGTTGCTTTTTGCCGAAAAACTTAAAACATCAGTAAAAGCAATATTTATATGAAATTGCTGCTACACATAGTCACATCACTGTGCAAAAAGCTTCCACCTATACCTTTATTATTTAGCAACTGCTTGGATCTGAAGCCTGTAGAAGAGTTGACAGCTGCAAAGTTGATAGCTGTAGTAGAGAAGGCCATAGCTCCCAATTCCTTCCTCCTTTTACCCGTAGATATATCATCAGGACCCTCCAGATGCTCAGAACTACCTGTCCATTGTCCTCCTGCTAGGACCATGGACTGCACCAGGTCATTCATGGCTGGGATGCAAATGAAAGCAAATGATCAGCATGGTCAATGTATTTGCTTCTGTTCTTATTTTGTATTGCAAAATGCTGGACAGTTTTCTAAGCATTAAAGCGCATTGAATACTGGAAGATATAAAAACAAGATCATCCATGTTATGACATGCAATCAGCTCAATGAATGAGAAGTGGCGTAAGTCAGAGATTTCTTTCAGCTCAGTATGGTTCTTAAAACTGGTTTTATTAGGTATAATCGCCATGCTTGCGCTACAATGGTACGCAATATGTGTGTCAGAAGCTTTGATAGACTGTTTGCAATGATAAAATGGAATGGATAAGGATAAGATGGGCAAAGGTGCTAATACAATATAATGTCAACAATGATACGGGATCCTTGTACAGTGCAGGTTACTGCAGGGATACTGTATTTTACATAATAACAAATAAAAGGATTGGAGAAAGATGACATCTGATGATATTCACCTTTACTTCACAAAGCTAGAGAAAATTGTCCATCCCTCATTACAAAATAAAATAAATTAAAATAAATCAATACAATATTTTGGCAACAACAAGTGATGAATACTTGAAGAGTGACAGACTACCATATAGCCTTGCACTATTGTCTACACTTTCCTTAAACAAAAAGTTACAGTGATCTCTTAACAAAAGGCTTATGAAATGTGTAATTTGGAACTGTTTAAGTTAACACAGTGCACTGTAAATTTATATACACAGAGACGTGTGTGTATATAGACAACTATGTATACAAATATATGCAATCACAATGCACTGAATATATATATGTATGTGCGTGTGCTTGTGCATGTGGGGGTACGTGTGTGCACATGTGCACATATATAAAGTATTCAGTGCCAAGGTTTAAAAAAAAAAAAATAAGAAAAAAGAAAAAGAAGAAAAAGCTCCAGCTCCTTGTATTGTAGCAGGACTTGCACATTGCAAAACAGGAGGAAAAATACAGCGCAGTCCAGGGAGAGGTTAGTGAAAAATTAGTAATGGAAGCCAGTGTAGCCATTTAAAAGAAGCTGAACTGTCATAAAGTCTTACACATGGAGCGACGGTAGAAGGCCTTCATTTTGTCTTTTTCCTTCGGTCTGTTCCTCAAAAAGGGCAGTCTTTTCAGTGCAACCACTTTTATGTCATAGCATGAGGAAAAACGGAAACAGGGAAATGAAAGAAAAAAAGGGAGAAGAACAGATGGAAGTTAAATGTTGAAACTAAGGACAGAAATGAATGTCTGAGTTTAAGCTATGTATGCTATGCTAAAAACTATCATTCTCATGCTTCCGTGTGATAATGAGATATGAAAACTACACTGAAATATGAACATTACACTATGAAAACTTTAATATACTCAGAAATGCACCGAAAACAATGGTGAAGAGTGTAACAGTTAGAAATTTCTCTCAAGCTCTTGAAAAAATTAAATGTAACTTCTTTGCAGATGATTATAGAAATTGATGATTATATAGTTTTATTGTGAAAAATAACATTTCTTGACCATAAAGAAAAATGTGAAGCAAAAAAGCTTAAAGTGAAAGCAACTATAAGTACAACAAAATATGTTCACATCATTATTTTTTGAGATTCGTAACTTTTTGTAATGTTTTGCCCTGCATCTCTAGTAGCACACAATCTATTATCAGTCTTTGTTTCATCTTGTGCTCATTAATAGTTTTTGTCATCTACTGTCTTGTAGAAAAAATTACACAGACCTCAATTTCAAGGTACTGTTTATGTGCAGTGATTTTAATATTTTAGTGAAATAATCCACTTCAGATTTCTGATAAGAAAAATAAAATCAAGATTTATTGGCTGTAATGGTATTCACCAATTTTTTTAGCTGAACACCCACCAAAGATTAAAAAGAAACAGCAAAAGAAAATCCAATGTGAGCGTTGCTGTAACATTTTTGGGAGGGCTAAGAGAAAATTGTGGTATGTTATAACTAGGAACAGAGTTAAAATTACTAATAGCACTAGAAGATGGAGGAGGGGGAAATCACAAGTTAATCTTGTCCTTAGATTCAGCTATTCTGCATTAGTTATTGATTACTGGCAGACACCTGCGTTTTGAAGCATCAGATAAATGTGTCAGCTGACTGCCAAGCACACATGCAAACAACTGCCATGTAAGGATCCAGAGAGAAATGCATAATGAAATTACCAAAAAGGTCTCGTTTATGCAGAGATCAAAGCAGTGGAGTCCAGTCTATCAGCCCCAAACCTGCTTATTTTAGCTCTCTGGAGTCACTTTTGAGACATGAGCTTTGTCGTTTGCCTTGGTTTCCTGCTCAAGCAGCAGCTTGTTATCCAGCAGCTTCTATTTTATACAGCAGTGCATCTATACAAATGCATTTACAAGTGCACAGCAACTACCCTGAAAGAGAAACCTTCCTTCCTCTCCACGGCATCAGTTTGTGTTTGCTCTTAGAGCAAGAAGTTTACAAGGCTACATATACATGTTCCAGCTTCCAACGAGTGCACGACTGGCACAGCCACACATGTCCAAAACAAACACAGAGGTTCTCACCCTTGCAGTATCTAACTCCGTCTTGATCACAGAGGGATAGAAAACACCCTCCTCTGTCAGCTCCTTGTGACATGGGGTGGGGAAGAGAAGAAAGGTACCTGTGCTACCTCTGCGAGGTAGGAGTATACCAAGTACAAGTTCACCTTGGAATTATTTGCTACATAGGTACACAGATGTTTTATTATGTACAGATACTTGGAGGTACTTCAAAATAACGAGTGCTTTGATTTGGTTTGTTTCAAATCAATAAAGCATTCCTCCTCTTGTGGATCCTGAGGAAATAAGCCAAAACCAACATAAACAGATGCTGACTGGCCCAAAAAAAGCAGCAAGGCTGCTAAACCTCTCATAAAGGAGACAGGCATGTCATCTATCTAATTGCATGGAAAAGTATATTTTTAGTAACTCCCTGCCAAAGGAATACAAGATACCGCATCAGACTGATTTTCTAACAGGTAAATAACTCAATACTTTTGGCACTAATCCCAAAGAGCTAATTCTGTTTCTATCTTTTTGTCCCCATGGTGAAACATGATTCTTCTGTAACTTCTATAATCCTTTAAAGACAAGATAACTGATTCCTCTATAATACTTTATAGACAAGATAACTGCTATAGACAAGGTAAGTGATACCTCTTAATTAACAACATACACGCTAATCTTATTAACAAGTAACCAGAGGAAAGAATCCTTTGAGTCATCTGTGATTCCTGTTCATTAACACAGATCACCTCCAAAAGGACTGATTTACAGCTCTCAGCAGCTGTACCAAACAGAAAACTCTGCTGCAACTACTGATGTCCTGGAAACTGTACATCAAAACCTGTCCTTTGGCAAAATGCAACCTCCTGAAGATGAGGATTTACACAAGTAATTTCTGCATAGAATACAAACCACTGGAATGGCAGAGCTACAGCAGAAACAAACAGGACACCACAAAATTTAGCTTAAGCAGCTTGAGCTCTTTACACCTTTATTCCAGACTTTAAAACCAGGATGGCAGGAGGACTATTTTGGTCTTGGTAATCATCTACTCAAAGATGTCTAGATATAATTGACTAACTTTTCTTCCTCTTTTCAGTACTCTATGAATATGTTCTTGCTTTCTGAGCTGAGAATGGATGATGACTATTGCAGAATTCCATCACTGGTCAGGAAATCTCCCATTTTGTAATCCTCCTACTATTTGCCAGAAATATCCTGGGGAATTCTGCATGGACAGTATTAAAATCCTTACATCATTCCGTTCATGCACACAAGAAAATGTTAGGCAGACATCTTCTAAATGTTTTGCTAATAGAAAAAAGGAGCCCAATGTACTTTTTACTCCACCGTGATACAATGTGTCTGCTACTGGTACAATTTAAAGATTACAAGCTTACTAATAGCCTTAATTCCTTGGGATGATGTTCATAAACTGAAATGGCTGAAGTGGAAGATAGCAAAACCAATGTTTTTCTCCACCGAAAAAAAGAAATTCCACTTGCTTGACGTGGGTTTTCTATGCAAAAAGCTCAGAATAGTATCCCACCCCTTCTGAGGATAAAAGGCCCTGCACAAAGCAGATGTGGGGTACTCACCCGATTCAAACACTTTACACAGATATAAAAAGCAAAGGTGAAACTCTGCTGTCTGAGGAGCAGGCAGTGTGAGGGATTTCACTTGTGTTGTGCACAGTTAAGAGCCATGCAGGCACCCCCTCCTTTCCAGAGGGCTTCTGGAATCAGACAAGGGCTTCAAGCACTCTGGGAGACCTCAAGTGCTGTTTTCTCTGGTAACCTGATTTTTGTGCCAAGATCACCTATCTTTGTAAGAGAAAGGTCTCTTGAAAACATCTGCATGAAAAAGTATCCTGAGTTAGGGAAACAGTCTCCATCACCACCTTCCAAAGAAGAAAATCCTACAGATTTCACATACCAAATCTCTATCAGTAGTGGCAGCAGGAGGATAATTGTCTTGGGAACTGCTATCTCCTCTTACTTTCTCTGACAGGGGATATGGGGGTAGGAAACCTATACAACTCCAAGACCACTGCACATCAGAGACTCTGTCCTCTAGCTTTTGAGAACTGCTGATTTGTGACAGTGATGGCCAGTTGGGGGATGTAAGCTGCCTCCTCTTGCCTTCTGCAGGACACTTCACCTCTGCAGTGCCCTCCAGAACCATCTCCACTCGCAGACACTCAGGGTGAAACACAAGCTGTCTCCTCTCATACCCACAAGTTCCTTCAGCCAGCGTGGAAAGCTACAACACCTGAGCATTTGCACAGACAGGCAGCAACTCACAGGTTTTCTCCATCTTGCAGCTACTTTGAGTGGAAGCTGCTACTGCCAAGCCACTTCTTACAGAAAAAAAAGGAGCCACTGTATCTTGACATTTAGAACTTAAGAGTCATTCTAAAAGCAGAAGAAATAGATTGCAAAATGCACACCATTACTGGTATTTCTAACACTGAGACATTCTCTTAACTTTGTAAGATGCAAACTGTCTCAGAAAGATTGTCAGCATTGAATTGCCACATAATTCATCCCAATTCTATCCAAAACTGTGGTTGCCATGGTGACATGTGTAATGGAGGAAGGTTAGGATCCAGAATTAGATCAGCTCTTCCAGTTTGTGGATAAATACACTGGAATTAAGAGGAACATGAACTAGGTCCACAGAGTAGAAAATTAACGAGGTCTGAAGAACTTCAAACCTCTTTTGAGGATAAGCCACTGTAACTTCCCATGGCCCCACCAGGAGGGTAACTGCACACTACAAGGTCCCAAGTATCATGCAAAGAAAACTGTCACATAAAAGAGCCCTTCCACAACATGAAATCACTGACACAGATGCAGATGGTCTAAACCAAAACATGCATGCTCTCGATTCAAACTAACACACTTACAAACACATCTGCTGCAGCTTCAGTCTATCCCAAACACCACAAGACTTCCAGTTTGTGTGTAAAAGCAACAGTTGCTTTTTCAAAAAATCAAAAGTTCCTGTTTTGAACCTTAACAGACCCTTACCACTGAAAAACACTAAGCTTCCCAAATTTGTCAAGCGGCAAGTGATAAAATGTACCCTTGAACTACTTTTTAAGTTATTAAAAAAAATACTCACAAATCTAATTTTAGGTTTCCCTGAAACAGTGTTTTTAGACGTTTTAAACTTGGACTAAGCTTCTGCAATAAGCACAGAAGAAAAAAAAAAAATCACAGTGGCTTTAATAATTTCTAACACAGCAAATTCATAGCTGGCACAAAACCCCAGAATATCACTCTGCTGTGATCACATTAAATTTAAAAAAAACTATAAAAAGTATTGCAAAGATTTCAAGTGAATTTTATTACACTCGTATTCTGATGCTTTTACATGCACAGCCAAAATGCTTTTGGTGCATAATTGTTGAATAGAATCATGACAACCTGATAACTTGGCTGTAATATCATCTCTCAAGTTGTGAGAAATTGGGACAGTTTATGATTCATGCCAATAGCAGATAACAAAAGATAGAGATAAGAAATGCACATGCTGCACAGAATGTGGCCTTCTATACTGTGGGCATCCTCAGATGACTGCTGTCAGGCTCTTTCAAGGTTAGCAAATTGCCTGGAATATTTATCTATCCACACCTCTGTAACCCTCCTCAGTCTCCCTCTCAGCCACTTAACTCTAATCTTTGGGAACAGTAACTACTCACATCTTCTCAACAAGTTATGTCCCTACATTAACTCTTCTTAGTGCACACTCAAATACTGTCACCATTCTTTACTGTTGGTTTTGTGAGATGCTGGAGAAACACCTTCAGACAGATCTTTTTAGCAACTGAAGGATGTTAGCACAGCCTGGAAAGCACTTCCAAGAGAGGGGGAATGATTCATGCTGGGACAAGAGGGAGAAACAAAAAAGGGTACCAGTGGTGGCATCTGACATTCTATCCAAAATTCTGCTTGCCTGACCCAGTAACAGTGCCTGCTTCATCTTACCCAAGCACTGTGAATGTGTTTTAACATCTACATTTAGAGTTATAGAAATGCTAAAAAGTAGTACCTGCTCAAACCCTCCAGGAGTCTGCAATAAGTCTGTATAAATCTGTCATTAATAAATGAATCCAGGCTTCATTCCTAAAGACTTAAGTTACCTTTAAAAATCCTCCAACCACATAGCTTTTTCCAGCACCTCCTGATGTTTAACCAAATCAAAAAGACATGTAGCCAAGGATTATTAAAAGAAAAAAATGTTTTGCAGTACTCACTACTACTCTTTTTGGTCCCCAAGGTCTGGCCATCTTCCAGAGAGTTTGAGCCCACAGAGGAACTATCTTGACTGTCCTGGTGGGGCAGCTGAAGAAATCCTTCACTGGATTCTGAACGGGTGGGCGTAAGGGTCACAGACTTCAGGCGTTCTCGATTAACATCCTTCTTAGATTTGATCAGCTTCCTCATTTTCAGAGTAATCCAGTTACCCCTTCTGTTATCAATAATACAGTACATTTATTGCCGTTATAATACGTTACTTATGCCTTCAGACTTTTCCTAATTTGTATGCAAGAACATAGACGTGATTCTGCTCCCCTGAAGTTTAATAAAATCCTGATTTTTCAGGTGGAACAGAAGAGGTATGTCATATTTTGGATTTATGTTTATTTTTATATCATGTTCATCAGTACCTTCTTGGTGGAGATGGTTCATAAAATTTGTACTGATCCATTATCTTCTCCTCCAATTTCTCCTTCTGTCGCCTTAATTCATTTAGCTTGTCACTGTGAACAGAAATTAATGATAATGTCTGCTTCAAAAATGTACATATAATGTATGAGCAGCATGTTCCTTTGGGTATCTGTTATCTGAAGGCTGACATTTTCACAAGAGATTCTTATATAGCACTTGTTTCTTACTGAAAAAATCAAGAGATACAGCAAACAAGCAGTCTTACATTTAATGTTGTAAAATTGAAAAATTTTCCATTTTCCTTTATTACATGACAGAATTCTCCCCCTTTTTTAGTAGTAAAGTACATATAGGCTCTAACAGAATCAGTTAGACATGCCCAGTTTCTCTTCTCTCAAATTTACTAAACAAGTTTTTAAACAAACCTAGGAACTTTGCTTGCTGTGAAATGAAGAATAAATAACTTTTTGTTTCTCATTTGCACTATCAGTAACGAACACAGTTCCACTGATGTTTTGGAACTAAAAATATAACGTCCGTAGTTTGAGTTATCTGCTTTTCATATATAATTTAAATTTTTAAAATAAAAAGAGAAGTATTTCAGAAGTAGCATGTGTTAACTGCTATATAAACCAAAAGCTTTTAAAAAAAAACCCTCAGGTATTAGTGTAACTGTCCTAATCACAGTAATTTAATTGTTTTAAAAACTCACATGTACTGCCTTTGCTCTACATGGAAGAGATCCTTGCTTTCCATATTCTGCTCAAGTAATGTTCTATTCTGTAGCATTAATGTCTGAATTTGATCTAGTAGATGTCTGTTTTCCTCCTCCAGATTTCCTTTAAGCTGGCTAAGCAGCTGTTAAAATATATGAAATGGTACATGTGAGAATATTTTACACAGAGATAATGAGATTATGAAAAAAAAAAATAGGTCTACAAAGGATACTGATAACCAAATCAAACAGTAAGTTTAACTAAATCATGACTCAGCTGATAAAAACCTCTTTGATGCTTTAAATAACTTAAAACAGTTTAACCTAACACAAGCCCAGATTTTTGTACTGCCTGTACAATGGGCAAATTAATTTGTCTTCAGACCCACTTCATTATCTATAAACCAAATGACTACATCTCAAGCACTATGTATGATTTTATGAATCTACAAATACACATATACGACAATGATACCAGTCATGAGAAACAGCATAATTCCACATACCTCACACTGATTATTTAGTTTGGTCGATGTAATATCCAGTTGTTGGTACTGTTCTTTGAGTTTAGAAAACTCAGCTTCTAATCGTGTTTGTTCTAGTTTGGAATTGTTCAATAATGTTTTCAAATTCTTATGATCAGTTTGGAGAACTTCATTCTCTCTCAAGAGCTGACTGTATGTATGAGTAAGCCTGGAATTGAAAGACATCATAAAAGAACACATGCAGATAGAAGTAAGCGTATTCATTACCAACATTCCCTCAGAAACATGAAATTTCCAAGGCCCTATACTACTCCACAGAATTCATATCAACACTTCTTACTAATCACATGCTGTAGGGAAGCCATCTCAGTCTAATTTTTGTAGACATGCAGTCTGCCTTTAAGACTAACACTCTGGGTTTCCCATATATTTTTCTAAAAAAAGTAGGCTTGCTAAATGCAGACATCACAACTAGTTTTAAGATGTCACTTTTCAAAACATAAGAATCTTGCAAAACAGCTGGAAGTTCTTGCCAACACAACATAGCAAGTAAATGGGAACGGCCCAAACTTCAGCCATTATGTAGGTTGCATACACTGATTCCTGAGCTTCCTCTGTTCTTCCTCCTACAGTGACTGTTTTGAAGACTAATGGAGTGGAGCTGCTATGAAGTGAGGATGGTAAATGTCCTGAATTGCTGTGTCAGGCATTAAGAAATGTGAGAGGATACAACAATTGTTCATCAGACTATACTGGCAAGTGCTCAGAGCTTTACTGTTACACATATCAGACTTGCACTTTACCTTTCATTTTCATCACGAAGTTTTTTACACTCTGCTGCTACAGTTTCGTGTTTTTCATTTTGTTGAAGCATTTTCTCCTGTTCTACCTTGAGTACTTTCTCCAATTCTTCCAGCTGCACTTTCTGTTTCAGCAACTGATTGTACCTGCAAACAAAAAATAATATTTAAGTTTATTTTTTTGGAATGACAATATGGAATTTTTGGGAAATGGTGATCTTTCAAAGTCTTAAGAACTTAATGTTATATTTAAGTAATACTGATTTTATTCCCAGTAGTTCATAGCTGTTTTTTCTTTTTGCCCAGGAATTGCAGACTCCAGTTTTACCCATGTGTATTAGTATTTACCTATCTTCTAAGTCCTTATGCTCCACCTCCAGGTTTTTGTGTGCAGATTTAAGACTTCCATGCTTAGCAATCAGAGATTCATACTCAGAAGCTTGGCGTTCATGCAGATGTTCCAGCTTCTCATGATCTTTGAGAAGCGAATCATACAATGATTTCAGGTCCTCGCGTTCCTTGAGCACACATTCATTCTCACTTTCCAAAGCAGACTGCTGGATCAACAGTTGTGCATTCTGATTCATAAGAGATGTGCTTTGAGAATTAAGGGTGGAATTTTCAACCTGCAGGCATAAATATTTGACAAGAGTTGCAAATTAATTTCATAGTCTGGATTATTTTGTCTCTCTCCTCCTGTTGAAAGATTTCTTGAGTTTAACCCTTAGCATCTTGGCAACCTTCCAGTTGTTCCATTACCTGACAACCTTTAATGGGAATACTTCTTTTCTTATACCCCAATAGAGAATTTCAATTCGATATATTCCTAGAAAATTTTTATAGCAGTATTACAAGAAAGCACTTAAGGATATGCTTAAATTGACATGGGATGGGGTGGAGGGTATAAAATTATTATTTACCTTCAAGTATCTGTTAAAGTGTTATTTAGATGAGAATCACATTTTCTTCTCAGCATTGACAGCTCTAGCATCAAAATATCTCAGAGAAACAGATCATCAGTGATCCTTGTATCACATAAGCCAGATCTGTCACATGACTATAACTTTCATACTAATATTTTTTAAAATCTTTATTGTACAGAATCTCTATTGTCACCATAAAATCCTTTATTGTGCCCACACATCATTTAAAATGAGACTGAACAGTAGCATCCATCCAAGAGAGAGAAACGGAAATAAACCAGCAGCATTACTGAGGAACTGCCATTCACAGTTTGTTCCTTTCCAACAACAGTAACGTCAGTTGATCACTTTTATGTGTGTGTCGTGAGATCTGGTGGAAAGTGCTCTTCTCGCAGAAGAGTACAATTTCTCCACCAATTATGTCAGAACATCATTAATGTCTATTAATACATTAAAACCTTCAACATTAGACAGATTTAAAGAAATCCAACAACTTGACTTTGTGTGCCTCTGGAAAGATTAACCTAACCTAAACCCTTGCATATCTTAAAGAACTGACGATACCCAAGGTGCTTGTCATATGACCTGTATGAAGCTAGCTTCCTTCTCTTTCCTATTCAAGAGATGAAAAACACAAACTCCCGAGGCTTCTAATACCCTCAGGAAAAAAAAAAAAAAAAAAAAAAAAAAGATCACTCCAGTGCACACTGTTACTAAGGAACAAATCCCTTTCTGTTGAAACTGCAGCATTCTTTGTTACAGATGAGAAAGCTGAACCTTTCACTGCAAATGAAGTAATGTCTGATGGCAAGGGTATACTGTGAAACTTCCCAGACTGAATTCTGAGTCTGATTCAGTTCAGAATTCCCCGTTATCCTTTAAGACATCCACTCTTCTTTATGTTCCTTATGGCTATCAGAAGCAACAGTAGAATTACAGTTGCCCAAGAACAGTTTTGATGGAATCCATATAGACTAGCTTAATTTGTGCTTCAGATTGAGCTAACCATTAATCACTCTTATTTTCTTGAACATATTTCACCTTTCATTATGATTTAGAGTTGATGTAGAGTTGTCTTGCAACTCGCCTGAAGCTATGAGCAAAACAGCTGAATTCTCAAGGAAGGAAAACAACTCCCTTTCTCAGCCTGCTGGGTATAACATCATTCAGTCATCCCTGGCAACAAAAATTACATGGCTTGGTGAGGTTCACCACAAAAAAAATACTGAAGGCATAAAATGCTTCCTCCTCCCAATACACTGTCTCAGTACTTCCACAAATATTGGCAGCTAATTCATTCTCCAGGTTTACCAGTTAGGAAAGGCCTGTGCTGTTGAGCAATTCACGAGGCAAAAAAGGAACTACATATATGTTCCTGTTTTTCTGACAAATGGTATTACAAAATACTCAAGAGTTCTAAATGGCAGAGCTATATCCTCAATCTGTTTGAAATGGTGTATTTCCATGCCCACGGCCACTAATTTTAACGACTAGACGAGGACCTCGTGTGTGCACAAATGTCCCGTTTTGTTCACAGGCTTGCCAGCCACAAAGGGGAGTACTGTGCACTAATTAGATTTCAGTGTGGGAGATAGCAAGTGCATCTGTGGTACAACTATGTCCTGCTTTCCAGAAAGAGACAGGATGATAACTGGAGCCATTCACAAAATGCATTATTTGTTTACTTGTTTAAAGACTCCCGCACTCTCTGACTTCCATCTACCCTCTATCATTTCTGACATTTGTAACTCTTTCTGCCAAATTACGGACCTGGCATTTCCTCTTTAAGTAGTTTTGATTCTTAGAGATCCAAAAAGCATTATATGCATTAACAGGAATATTTCATTTAGCAGGAAAAAAAAAAAAAGTGTAAAGTATTTAATAAGCATGTTTAAGTATGAAGAACGACATCTGAATTTTGGCCGTAAGACTCTGTGGGCAACCACTCTTGTAATTACCATGGTCACAAATTACCTTTTTTTGCCTCTGAATTATTTGAATTAATTCTTCACATATTTATGTAGGTTTCAAAGGGGTTTTTTTCAGTTCTCCTGTACTTACTAACATCTTGATTTTCCTTTTTTTTTTTTTTTTTTTTTTAACTCTCTTTATAAAAATAGACAAAATACTAAATTTATTAGTCTCTTTGGATGTACATGACCTAATTTAGAAGACATTTAAAAAAACATTATCTTAGAAGACTGGATAAGAGAATCTACTCCTAAGTTAAGGATTTAAATGGGACAAACATAAAGGATTAAAACCAACTTCTAGAAATGTTATTATTCATCAGTAACAAAATATTATTTGACTGCTCTTAGGGCAGATGTTTTACACACTACTTTCTTTTCCATGTCTGTACCAGAAGTGAAATGTGATTTACAAGACATTATTGCCATTAAAGCTTTCATTGGAAAAAAACTTTGTATTATTTTTGAAAACAAAATAGGAAAATATTACCTGCAGCTTGGCATTCTGAGTTTGTAGAGTTGTATTTTGTTCCTGTAGAGAAACAGTCTGTCTCTGAAGTGCAAGAATCTGAGCCTGCAGATTGCTATTCTGTGTCTCAAGTTGCTTTAATTGTGTCTTTAGTGCTTGCTTTTCTGCCTGCAGCGTAGCATTCTTTGAACGTTAAAAAAGAAAAGACAATTTGATTTCACACCTGTTTACCAAACTTCAAGAGAAAAACCTTGTTTTTCCCATACCAACAAAGCAGCATGACTTTGCAGAGATTCACAGGATGGAACAAAAGTATAGATCACCTTATACAACCAAGTAACATGCAGTAATATTATCACTACAGGCAGAGGTTGAAAAAATGGGTAACTCATATTGTACTTATGGAGAAAGAGTAGAGAAATCTCCATGACTCATGTAAATAAAGATTATATGAAGTATTTACAGATATCTGTGGATTCAGAAGGGCTAATACAGGTTTCTACATTTCCCTTTAAATGCTGGTTGTATGCTTTGCAGCATCCCTCAGAGCAGAAACCAGTTGCTTCATAAACTATCTTTAATTCAGATTCTGCTTGGTATGTAAACTAGGTGATAAATAGCTTGCTTACTTAACAATACTCTCATTTGTGTTACTGTAACAGTTCACACCAAATAATTAAAACCAGAATAATATTAAAAACACATCTTACATTCCTTTCCACTTCAATTAATCTATCTTTAACTTTCAATAATTCTCTAGTAGTTTCCTGATTTTCTTTCTCCCACTTATTGACAGCTTGGTTGTCTTCTCCACTTCTTGGAGGAGAATTCTGAACCATCCTTTCCTCTTCTTGTCTTTGCTTGAGAGCTTCATAGTTCTTTTTCACCTGAAATTATTTATGACAACTTACATGAGGTTCAGGTTTTTTCATTTTCTAGGTCCTAATTTATTACATGACTGTACCACTTTTCAAAGAGCAGAAATTGCCACATTACTGTATTTGTAAATGTGCTTTTTGTATAAGTTTGGGGAGGTGATGGACAATTTTTTTGTGGATATGGATAGCTTAACCCTAACAAACACTTGTCTAAGAAGAGACCTCTATTTTCTATTTTATTTCAGTGCCTTCAAATGTATCCCCCAACTACTATAACCCTATAACCAAGTCCTACAACCTAGAAGAAGATGTAACAGAGTGACTACTTTTGGTATCCCAAACACAAATCAACTTCATTATTTATGCACCTGACATAATCAATGATCAATGAATAAACCCAACAACTTTTCATGTCATTTCAACACCCGACTTGTGTTACTGCTGTCTTAAAAAGCAGTCACACCTTCATTCTGCTTTACATTACACAAACAACACCCATCTCTTGCTGTCTTACACAAAAGGTCAAGTGTAGAAATAACAATAGCTGGTATAGGAGTAATTTAATCTTATAGAGCAAATGTTGTTCTCCTTACTGTTTTAAGTTCCTGACGAAGTTGCTGGTTTAAATTTGTAGATTCTTCTAAACGAGCCTCCAAAGCAGCAATTTTTTCTTCTTTTATTTCAAGAGACTTCTTAAGTGTGGATTCTAATTTTGACTCCAAAAGCTTGTACCTACTGGTCAATGACATCACACACAAAAAAGTCTGTATTTCAAAAAATTAAGGTATTTAAATGCAAAAATGTTCTGAAACAGCAGCCTCATAGCTCTTTTCAAAAATGTTTGTATGCTGACTCTATTCAAAAGCACGCAGACACTGCAGTATTAGTATCAAGACCTATGTCTAAAACAAACAGAAGACGGTAGTCAAAAACATTTTCGAATCCTTCTTTCTTTTAAGACCTATTAAGACCTACAAAAAGCCACATTCAGCAACACCAGTAGGGTGCTGACTTGATCTGGATCATTAGCATGTGTGTGATGACAGTGCTCTTCCTTCTGGCCCCACTCCAGTGGATCCAGCGGAGACCTGAACTAAATTAGAATGTGAAGTATTTGGAGAGCAAGATTTTCATCAATTTCCATTTCCTGCCAGCTCACAAAGAGGAGGCACTAGGGAAGGAGACAGAAGACAGTGCTGTGCAGGTGCATACTCATTTGATGTATGAATGTGCAAATTGCTCACTCAGCCCAGCTGCTGATATTTTAAGACTGTTACCACTCCTGATATGTAAAGCTTCCATTTTTTTACCATATTTACAGTATTGTAGGGCACCTAAAAAACCCAAACCACATATTTGGGAGAGAAGCAGTCAGATTTAGGATATACTGGCTTAGAACAGTACCTCCTTTTTAGAAAATATTGAAAGCTACACTCAATCACCCTTAAGCAGTACAGTCACTGTATATGTGCTCAGAATCTGGAAAACATCCCACTTCTCCCCACAGTAGGATAAAATAAAACAAACCACTAATACCCCCCTTTTTAATCTTGACTGCTGAAAAAAAAAAATCTCAGTTTAGTGAACAGAATAGATTGCAAGAGACTCCTGAATGGACAAAAGCATTAGATCTAGTCAGGAACTGGAGCAGAAGACCAACGGCAAGAGAATTAATAAGTAGAAGGCTGTCCAGTAGCGTCATGTAAGAGTCCCAGATTTTAAGGTGACTTAAGAAACAGTAAGGCAGTCTATAACTAGTAGAATAGATGGCATTTCATCTTCTTGAGCTGAATGATATATTCAGCTACAAATAAGAATTTCTGTTACTTAAAAGTTGTGCAATTATGTAGAAAACAAAGAAGAAAGAAGACTAATAGAGACCAAATTTCTTGTGTACACCTAATAACAAAAGATGGCACAAATTTCCTATTGTCATTGGGATTTGGGTATTTCATGTTTAGGGTCAAAATCCATACATCTTTTTTGCCTAAAGACAACAGCCATTTGAAAGGCAAGAGAAAATGGAAAACACTTCCAAGTTAATTCATCAAACATGGTCAGCTTAGGCCCCAACAGAAAGACTCTGAAGTCCTACCAAGAACATTCAATGAAGACCCACAAGCAGCTCTCCAATCAGGGAGAGAAAACCTGTGCATTTTTAATTTCTGTCATCAAAATGAGAGAGGCAGACCAAAAATACACTGAGAATTGACTCTGGCCATAATAAACCTCGCTTTCTAGAGGCCTGATGGAACAATTGCTAATGCCTCACATAGGTAATAATATAAAGCAAGTAATCCATGTACCTTTTGGATGAATGAGAAAGTTGAGAATAATGAAAAGGCAGGGCAGTGACAGAGCACGATTTCAAACCAACTGCTTTGAAAACAAATTATTCCCCATTCAGTCACCGGGCTCTACAGGAAGTTCTTAAAGATAGGTCTACATTCTGGTTTGAGGAGAAGCTCAGAACAGCAACACAGCCCAAATTCCTTCACATCTAAAACTATTTGGTCACAAGCGTGAGCTCAGAGGAAGGCTTTAGATAATGTTCTGGGTAGGCTTCACGCTATAAAGCTTACTGCACACCTCCCCACAGGGCAGCCAGAATAGGCACATCATACCCAGCCTCATATCCAAATATCTCATGCCATCAAATATTCCATCTGCTTCTGTGGTGCTTGCACATGGTCAGTGCTGGACAATCACATTTGCCATAAACACCTTTCCTGACAGGGATTATCTCCTGCTGCAAAGCTATCTGGAAAGAATTGACCGTGAACTGTTTTTATGCCAGTGTGGCTGAGCAGCACCAAGCTACAAGAGATCTAAGGCCAGAAGTAGACATGTGCCATGTCAACCAATATGCAATGCTTAGGCCTGCTCTCTGGGCCGTGTCCTTAATATATACACAGAAAAAACATCCACCAACTACTTGCAAATGGAATACCCTTCAGAAGAGCACTAAGGAAAGGTAGGGGGAATGAAAAAAACAATTACTTATTTGTGTAGTTCCCACACACAGCTAACCTGGAAGCAAAGGAAGAAATGAGACAGGTGGTGACAGGTGCCAGAAATATGCTGGAAGTCCATTTACAGATTATAATTTAATGAAAGATGGATAAAATTCCCCATCCCACAGAGACATGCAAATTTTCTTCCAAATTATAATTTCTAGATCTATTAAAACATCATTCTGTAAAATGTGAAGGAAACACTAGTATTGTATGGCCCAAAGTCATAATTCATACAGTGTCACAAATCAACTAACCTGTGAGAAGTGAACCCACAACACCTGATCTTTAGAAGAGCACTTGTAAAGGACAAGTGCCATTGTCTGGAAAGTAGAAGTAGATTCATGGATCTTTTCATCTAGTATAATTTGCAAAAGCACCTTTCCAGACCCATATACTCTCCCTTTGCAGAAGCACTCATTTCAACCACTGGGAATCTAGAACGTGATTTAGAGAAATGTTGCTCAATCTACACTTCTTCATCTAGGCAGTTCAAGCTTCAACTCAGCTCAAGGAATGGTTCTTCTCTGCATGGTATATTCATCTAAGGACAAAGCAAATGCATCCTACACACTGTATGCTACACAGTAATGCTTAAATTGGAAGAAATCATACTACTCTGAGGACTTTTCTGGACAGAACTCCCTATGTGTGAGCTGAGAAAGGTAGATGAAAGACATTACCAGAAAACATGAGGTGGCAACAGATTCTCCCTACAGGATTCTGGCACCACCCCAGTAACAGAGCACAGGCAGCAAGAAAGGGAAATCAAAGGAAAAAAGAAAGTTCTTCAGTTTTCTTTTGATATAGAAGGCCCAAAATCACTCTACATGTTCATGACAATCAGTTTTAGGACCAGATCACGGCCAGCAGCTTTTTGTTTTCTTTAAAGAGCACAACTGAAGAGCATCACGAAAGAAAGACTGGCTAGAATCCCAGGCTAGCCTGCTTTTCTCCTGTCACAAATTTTCCCTAAATCCCTGGAGGATAAGGCACAACACAACATACAGTGGAGGAAACAGATATCAGGATAGCAGCTGCTTTCTAACGGCAGGTGTGGTACAGTGACAGAGCCAGTACGAAGTTTTGGAGACATGAAAGTATTGGATGCTTCCCAGCCTCTGTAAGTGGGAATTCTAAACAGCTTCCTTTTGGTAGGAAGAATTAAAAGGAAACAGTCTTAAGGAAAGAGTGAAGCAGTTTAAGGTAACCACTATGTGACAAAAGCTTAAGAACCATTTCTATCAGTCAAGAAGTCAAAAAGGAAAAAAACACCACCCACTTTGGGCCTATTATCTTTTACTGCTACTGTTCCTGCAACATTTTAATTATACATCAGCTGAATCTCCTGACATATTTCAAGAAATTTCTTAGTATTAAAAAGTGATAATTCACTTTCACCAACAGCTGAATATTAAAAGCACATCAACTACCTTATTAATTTTGGAGAATAGCAAGTTCCATTTTGGGTATATTAGTGTGCCTTAAGAACCTCAGAGTATGCACAAAACCAGTGTGTAAAACCATTTTAATGCATGACTAAAAAAGATCCTCATTTCTACACTGTTCCAGGTAGGCCTGGACATCCTCACCTGTCATCACTGCTCTGTTCATCATGCAAGAGACGCTCCTTGTTCAAGCCTATTTTTTCAAGTTCATGGGCAAGTTTTTCTAGATCATTGTTCATTTGTTGAGTCTTCAATTTTTCACTCACTAAGTCCTTACACAGGGAAAAAAATTACAGTCAGTATTATTGGATTAATAAAATAATGTAGTCTTAATTCTAACAGTGCTGAGGGAAGACATGATTTGAGTAACGTGTTAAGTCTCCCTTCCTTCCCAATTCTTAGCTTTCAGCTGTATCAGACTTTATGTACAACATAAATATGATTTCACCTTACTTGTTTGCTCCTTTCCTTTCTGTAGAACTTCCCTTTCAAATTCAGTTTTGAACGTGACCAAGAAGGGGAAATGTTTCAGCCAGAACAAATACTAACAGAAAGAATCAGAACAACGTTCATTGCAAAAGGGCTCTATAACAGAGGCTTCTGTAAGCAACCTTACCCAATTAAGTGTAATACTGTTATATTGCACCATTTGATCACGATTATATAACTTCTGGTTATCTAATGCTTTCCCTACCATAACCACTAAAGATGCTAATAGTATACAGGTTAAAGCACAAAAAAGACAAACTTTTTTGAGAAATGCAGATATAATTTCTCTACATTACCAAGAGATTATGAGGGGAATGGTAACTAATTGCTGTTTACCTCTCGTAAAGTGACAAGGGTTTTCTTATCGATGGTAGCTCTTTTTACGAGTTCTTTATTTTCTTTTTCCAGTTCTTTGAGGCGTACACATGACTCTTTATATACAACTATTTCTTTAAATAGAGATTTATTTTCCTTTTCCAGATTACTAATTTTTACATTGTTTTCTTCTAAAGTACTATCTTTAATTTCTGCTTGTTGTCGAAGCCTTTTATTTTCTTTTTCTAGCTGTTTCTTATCTTTTTCCAGCTGAGAAGTCTCTTGTTCTAACAACTTATTCTCCTTTTCCAACTGCTCTAGGCGCTTACTAGATATTTTTAACTCCTCTAAGTTCTTTTGCAGAGTCTGATTTTCAGACTCTAAATCTTGTAATTCACTTTCTAATTGCTGAATCTTCTTATTGCTGTTTTCAAGGGCTTTCTGTAGCCTTTGGTTTTCTGTGTCTAGGCCTTGGTAGCTGACTTCCAAGCGTTCAGTCTTCTTAAATGAGGCTTTCATGAGTTCAAGGCTTTTTTTAAGTTGATCTTTTTCACTCTCCAGTTCCTTATTTTCTAATTGCAACTGTGCCACTTTAATGCCTGTACACTTCAAGGATTCGATTGTTCTTCTTAACTCCAAATTTTCTTCATCAAGCTGTGAATTCTCCTTTTCTAAGGATTCTAACTGAAAAGTGAGATTTTTTAGACTATCCAAAGTTTTTTTCAGTTTTCTGTTTTCCATTTCCAGATCTGAGTTTTCTTGTTCTAAGGCCTCAATCTTCTCACAAGTAATTTTTAAGTTAGTAATTTTTTTCTGTAATAATTCATTTTCCTTCTCCAGATGATGCAGCTCATTTTCAAGTTCTTCTGCTCTCTCCCCTTTCTCTTTATAGTGTTCCAGTTCTTTCCTGACTTGCTTTTTTTCAAATTCAATCTTATTTAACTTACTGCTGGTCTCTTTAATAGATTCATGAAGGATTTTATTTTCCTTTTCAATTTCTTTCATTCTCGCTTCAGCACTGATTTGGGAGCGTTGTCTTAGAGAAGCTACAGTTTGATTCAAATGTTCATTTTCTTGTTCTAATAGCTTAATCTGATTTGGGGGGAAAAATTGTAAACTCTGGTGAACAACATGCCAACAAATAATTACTTACATATATAAACCGAAAGCTACTAAGATTACAACATATTTCCCTTTTATTATGTTAAAAAAAACCCTCCTCTTATTCTATCTCTTATTCTCTATTTATATGAAGCATTACAAACACTGTGTATGTACACAGGTGGAAGCTTGACAACAAAATAAGTCAAAGCAAATCTTCAAGCATCTTCCTCTTAGATAACAGTAGATAACATAAAAATGAAACTAACAAAGCACGAACCAAAACCAAGTTGTATCTATTTCTTAGCATAATTTCATTTTCATTTGTGTTTACCCATATTTAGATTATTTTTCTTTAACTCTGTAATTTCCAGAGATACGTGTCCATGAAGAACAAAACTCCAGTCGTGTTCTAAACCAAACCTGAGATGGAAGTCTGGGAGCTGCAGAAGTGTCTTTATTTCACTTGGGAAAAAATAGAGGTGATCTGTGGGATATGAGGGCATCCTGATCACAGTCAATAACATTTTGTGAAGAAACACATCAAAGTTACACTAATATTTTGAGTTAAAAAGAACCCTTGGACATGCTGTTCCAAAGTACATCATATTAGAACTGAATTATTTTGTTATTAGAACTGAATTATTTTCTTAGGTAACATATTCCCAGATTTGCTTCAAGAATAAAGGTAGCATTTATATCTTGATTTTTAGTATTTTTTTTTACTTTTTCAGTTACTCCAAATAATTTCAAACTATCTGGTTGCATAACAACAGACAGCAAAATGCAGGAAACTGTTTATATCAATGTTTAAGAACACACTAATAACACAGCATAAGGGATGTTTCAACAATAAACTGTTTTGGAGAAAAGCAAAAGTGCTAGTTGCAATGAAAAACAGACTGAGAAAATTACAGACTGTTCTTCCATATTTACATCTAAACGTAACTATTAATTACAGGATCTACGGCTCTGTTCCCAGCAATGACAAGCTGTTCTGAAATGATTAATGAGAAACTCATTAACAGGTGTCTGAAAACACAACTTTGCAACACTTCTTTACATAACCTATGTTACTTAACATACATAATTACTTGCCATGAATTTTGCTTCTATAACCCAAACTTAACAAAAATATCATGATCAGTGCATCCCTAATTTTTGATGAAATCCACTGAACCTTGTATAGTTAACTGCACTGTTTCAGCACAGAATTTTTAAGAGACATGAAAGATGCTGCTAACCCATCACAGCTCTTAAGTATATTATTTTTAAGCAGAAATATTCCCACTGAAGTGTCAGACTTAGTACAATATGTTTAAAAGAATACCTGTATCCCTGATGGTTCAACTGGGATTTATGACTTATTCCAGAAAGTTTTAGTCTTTTTTTTTTTTTTTTTTTGAGTACACTTCTAATACAATACGTAAATCAATTATTGTAAACAAGACAAGCTTGTAAACTTCTAATCAAGCAAAGCTGGTGTATTTTCTTTAAAATTATCCCTGGTATTCTCAATAAATGAAAGTAAAGCTTCAATGTAAAGTTTCCCCCCCCCCCCCCTTTTTTTTTTTTTTTCTTTATTTTCTAAGTCTGGAATTTCAATTTGCTGATTAAATTGGGCCTTCAAAAAAATTCAGGATTTTTTAAATACAGTATTCTGTATTCCAAAATACTGTACTTTTAAATTAAACGTAATGAAAGATATCAATCTCATCTAGAAGTATCAGTCGAATTTATAAATTCCACAATTCTCATTCTGAAGGACTTGATTACTAAATATGGGATTTCCAGAGGTTTCCATAACTCCTGTTTGCTAGTGACTGCCTTGCACAGGTCTTCTGAACTGCTCTCTCAAGACCTTCAGGAGTTCTCAGCACCCGTTAGATACAGATACATCAGTGCCATTCAGTACCCTCCCAAACACGGCTCAAATCTTTGTGAAAAACCCAGATGCCAGTTTCTGACAACCAAAAATAAATTATTCTAGCCACCTACAAGTCACAGCTAGAAAACATTCTAGTAAAGGGGAATATTATGAAGCTGGGTGTGATGGTTCCTACCACAGCTAACCAAGAGTGGAATGAGAGAGGAGCCAGAGGCAGCAGTGGGGCAGCAGACCAGCTCTGCTCCACCAGTCTTGGTCATGTCCCCTGGAGGGACCAGCTGCTGGAATTCCCATCAACACTCCGACCTGACTGCAAACACTGACCTGCTGTCTGGAACCTCCATTGCGAGGTGCCTGGCTTACCTCCCAAGTTCCCAGTTTTCTGTTTTGGCTGAGCTACACCCTCTAAGCAACTATAGCAAATGCACAGCCCACGAAAGCCACAGAAGCGTTACAGAACGCTAAAAAGTTCTCAACCTAACAGTAAAGCCTCAGTTAAAAATGAGTCATGTCTCTCACTGCCTTGCAGGTCTTGAGACAATCTATTATGCTGCAGATGTGTCTTTCTGGCAGATCTGCTACATTTACCATGCCTTTATGCCTGTAAAAAAGTACAAAAGGGGAACAGTAGAGTACAAGACAGCATTAAAACTTCTGATTCTGCTACTCACTTGTCGCTCTGAGTTTTCTCTAAGTGCTTCAAGTGTCTTTTCGAGTTGTGCTTTTTCTTTCGTCAAATCTTTACTCAAATTTTGACTGTTCTGAAGACTTTGTTTTTCTTGGCTGATTTCATTCTCTAGCTCTTCAAGCTAAGGACAAAAAACAGATTTTGAAAAATGTACTTAATGACAATAGGATTACTGTTTGTTGGGTTGAAGGTGCCCTTATAGTAATGAATAAAGAAGGTTAAAGAGTAAAATGGAATGTCTCTTTTTTATCTGAAACAACTAATCTATTCTAGGAATAAATTTACTTCTGCCAGAATTTGCTCCCTGGCTCAGAAGACTGTATCTATAAAGTACTTTTGCATAGGAAAGTGGTCGGATTTCATAGGGCTCTGGATATTTCCCCAAGCATCTTTTTTTCTCTTAAAATTCTGTTTTAGTGAGATTTATACTGCTCCTCCAAGTCCCTTTGAACTTATAAGGGGTGAATGTTTTTTGATCTTACTTAACTATTTCAAGAGATACTTATGATGATTCCTTGGGAATTAAATATTCAGGCTTGCTTGTCAAATGGTTCCAACTCGCTATGTCACCAGACAGCAAAACTCTTCACAAGTGAAAATAACCAAGTGTGATTTTTCTGACACATTCAAGTTATAATTAGTTACTTAGAAGCCACATACACATTGTATTTTTAAACAATCATCTGCTGGAAGGTTTGTATTCTATGTCAAGTCCATCATCCACATTACCCAGTCCTAGAGGATTCCAGACCCCAGGCAGGGGCAATACTTTTACAAACAAGTTATCTGAATTACACATTGAATTGCTGCTAAATACCGAGAAATACAATCAGAAAAAGGCAGCAGAATGGAATTTGTTCCTCCATGAAACAATCTGTTGATCCGAAACAGGCAAAAAGCATGGCAGTAGTCAGGCTGGAGCCTGAGTTAACTCTTTCTCTTAGGATGAGAAAACCAATATTTGACCCATCTTTTGCTTCCCTCCTTCTCTCAAGTTCAGATCCTCCTGGTTGCTTGCTTAGCAGACCAATGTCTGTTTTACAGGGATATAGGCACTTTCAGTTGCTTTTGCAGAGGAGAATTAACTGTCTCAATCACCCCAGCAGGGATGCTGTCAGCCTTCATCTGGAAACCAAATTTATCCCTCATCTGCCCAACTGCCACCTGGGCACTGGAGTGGAGTTCCTGTGGCCACTATATCTTGTATTTTAAAACTATATTAGTGGTTTGTTTTAAGAGAAAGCGTGTCCAGATAGAAGTGGACTAAGTATACAGGATCCTTACAGACACTGTGTTCAACTGCACACCTTTTGCTGAAATGATGACTGTTCGGAACATTTCTAGGGGCAAGTGAGAAAAAAGATGTGTCGCCAGAGATCCCAAGTGGTAAGAACGGTATCAGATAACCACTTGCCTCTTATACCTATTCCTTTCTTTTGTACCCTCCCCTAACTGTCTTTCTGGTACTGCACAGAAACTCAAAGCAGCACACAGGCTGCTGCAAAAATATACCGTATTGTTAAGAAGTCAAAAGAAGCATGGGAATATGAAATACAGTAGGGATTTTTTTTTTTTTTTTTAAATTAGCTCTTACCCAGTCTTCTCTAAGAATAGCCTAACATCTGCTGAAGTAAAAGCATTTTCAGAAACTTCAGACATTTCACTCCACTGTAATCAGTCCCTGTTTTTTCCAATTTTTTTTCTCTATAAATGTCACTAAATTACTGTGCTTGATATACATAATTTGAAGAGCAAAATATTGTACATCAGCACAGATAAATCTGACAAACTCCTCCCATTCACTTGCTCATCAATTCCTTGGCCACTCTTCTCTCAATTCTGAATGAGGACACATGACCGAGTTTTCTGCTTAGATGAAAACTGGCTGATGGGTCTATGTGCACATACTTTCCCCTGCTTAATAATTACAAAAATTAAAATAATGTTGTCGTTTCATAAAACACTTGGATTACTTATTGTGTTCCCAACGTTAACATATTCATGTTTTTTCCCCTTGTCAGTATTAAGAGCTTTCTGAATGAAAGTCACATTCTTACATCATTAATAAAAAAGCATTATTAAAGATAAAAAGCTTTCTGAGGTTGTTTTTATCATATGCTAACAAACACCATAACACAACCCAGACCCTAGTAATACTTCATCCAAAATAACAGTGATTCATAGTTACCCTTTAGAAAGAAAATGGCAAGCAACATTAGGCAACTCATACACAATTCAGACATAAGCCAGCCATTACCTTTTTGCTAAGTCTTTGGTTTTCTTTTTCCATTTTCAGAATCCTTGAAGTACTGCCTTCTACAGAACCCACTGCACTCTGTAGTTCTTCCACTGTCTTCAGCAAACTTTGGTTTTCCATTTCCAACTTCAGTAATCTGCTTGATGTCAGTTCATTTACCTCATGACCAAGTGATTTCTGTGGCACTGTAAGAGGAAAAAAACCCAACATTAAAAGAAATTACTTATTCCCTGGAGTTCCTGGACTTCACATTTTTAGACTTAGGCGATCTAGAAGCCTTTGAGGGTCTCTTCAATGCCTTCGTGGTGAATAAAGGTAGCAAGGATTAATGACCCATCCTCCTTACCCAACACGTAATACTGCAGATGCATCAAAGGAAATGTTCTACTCATCCTAATGTCCCTAAGCACAGCAGAGATCTGTTTCCTGAAACTGAGGATGTATCTCTACATCTCCACAAATCCTTTGTATGGGATCCAGTGCATGACCAAGCACGTTGTATTGGAAGAATCGAATCTTTTGCCACAGCTATCTTTGTAAACAATTACTCTGAGAAGCTTTAACAAATCTTTCTTGAGAACAGTAAAGCAAGAAGACTCATGATCTGTGCTACAGAGTGTAGAATGAATGGCAACACAATCTAACTCCAAGGTATTTATGGGTTTTAACTGAACAAGAATCACACGAACAGAGACTTTTCACATAGACTATATCTCCCAAGGATACATGGGATTCAGTAAAAAAAAAAAACAAACCAAAACCCACAAACCAACCAAACAAAAAAAAACCTAACCACAACAAAGCAAACAAAAACCAACGCCAAACCCTAAACTGTCGCATCTCTCAAGAGGACTAAAGCTCTGTACTTTAGAAATAAGGATGTGTAATCTCCTAATGCTGTCCAATCTCTGAGCTTTCAATTCTTCTAAATTTATCAGTTTGCAAGTATTATTATGTTTACCTTCAGAAATTTCAGTAGTCCTATTTATTTGTTCAAGTTCCCAGCCAAGATGCAATGATTCATCCATACTTTGTTTCTGAGCCATTTCTAGAGTCATATTTTCCTCCATGAGTTCCTCAATCTTCTTTCTGTCCATATCACGCTCCTTAAAAATTATTGCACATGTAACTTGAAAAAAAGAAATGTCTCAACATGCACAAAGGATTTTAGTATCTAGTATGCCACTGAGAAATGCAAAGTGAATTTTCTGATTTGCTAATATACAGTGAGACAGTGAAGAACACACAGAAGTATGGAGAACTTGAAGTGTAACAACCAGTAAAGAAAAATATCCAAAGAACTTTGCATCATAACCTGTGGCAATGACTACTTACTCTTTTTTAAAGTTCACTTATCTCCAAATATCAGGAAAGAAAGTATACATGACAAGCACAGCTTGGTAGCCCACAAAGAACAAACGGACAGGCAAAACTTGACCTTCTCCAAACTATCATAAGACTAATTTCAGGCAAAAAGCTGTAAAAAAGGACTAGGTCCATGAAGAGCATCCCTCCTGGCTCTTCATCAGCCCCTCTTCTCCACACATGCCACTTGAACAGGAGTAAGCTGCAAGTGCAACTCTCAACATTTTGCAGAAAATTAAAGTGAACAGAAGGTAATAATCTGTCAGCCCTTACAGAAAACAAAAAAAAAACCCCACGCAGGCAAATTCTGACTTTATATTGTAGTGTATTTACTTTTTGAAGAAAGACTGATTGAAAACATAAATTATTTTGAGAATAACCTTCTGATAAATGTCACTGTATTGCTAGAATTTGGAATATGAATAACTGCTTTAAGTATTTAAGTGACAACAGACTATCTTCATGTTAAAAAAAAATCCTATTGTTATTACTAGTGAGTCTCTATTTCTTATCATCGTATTTTTGTATGCTTAATTTAGCCAATTAAACATTGCACTGCCTTTGAGTACTGCCTTTGCCATTTTTCCTTCCCTAGGCAGAACCAAAGCTACTGTAGGAAGCTGTCCCTGAAAAGTGTCAGTAAATCAAGGCATAGCTTCCTTCTGTCCCACACCATTTTCACTCAAAGCTCTTTTATTAAAAATGGAAATGAAATTCAATTCATATTAGTTGTCTCTGTCATCTTCCATTTACACTTACCATCTCCATATCATGTAATTTAGCTTTTAATTGTAGATTCTCTTTTTCTAACTCATGTAATTTATCAGAACGGGCTCGGGTCCCCTCTAACTGATCTTCCAACATTGTCTTTGTTTCTAGCAACACTTGATTGTCTTCCTTTAACTCCTGCAAGAATTAAGCAACAAAACAAGTCACAAAAAAGGTATTTCCTTATTAATACAAACTTTGATACACACCATACCTTGTCTTAGAAACATTGCTCTCATGCTAAAATATTAATTTGGAAGCTATAACTGACTTTTTATGTCTAAAGCACAAATTTACAGCGATTTCACGTAACTGCAACTGGTGAAATTTTTATCAAAAGAAAATTTTACATAACTTAAATAAAAGAATTTAAATAGTGCCTAAACCACTAAGAATAAAAACGTATTGATAATTACAATCAAACCATCTGATCTGAGATGTGACTTGGAAAGATGTGTTGCACATATATGGGTTACAGCTAAGCAAAAGGCTGACAAATAAAAATTACAGGTATCAGGCTCCAAACAGACAAAAAAAAAGTACTTCACACACCATATCACAGAATTGTGGAGCTTATTGCTACATAATTGTGTCGATGAAATGGCTTACATGTGTTGAGAAGTTAGCTAATTCATAAAAAAAGGAGGCCAAAAAGCTCAAAAGTATGATTTTCCTAAGCAGAGCATGATATTTCTCTCAGTATAATTTTCCTGAGCAGGGGACTGCTGGAGTCTGGGAGAGCACAATAGGAAAGTATCACCAAGTGCTTGCCCTCTTCTTTCACTCTCCCCTAAGCATCTACTCTTGGCCGCTGTCAAAGGCTGCAGATGGATGCAGATGCTGCTTTCAAGTCCATAATTTATTTTAGGATTAGGTTGAAGTCCCTAATTTTTGTGTTGCAGGAAATGAAGAGCAAAACTTGAGAGAAGAATTTTTTACAGGCTTACAGGCTACTGGTCAAACATACTTAAGCCCAAAGTCAGAACATGATGCTGAAAATGCAACCACATTCTTAAAATACAACCTGCCATATTCAAATGTCCTAAACAACTTTACGTACATAGAGGATTTTTTTAATGGCATCTGATGAAAATAATATGTAAAAACATGTAATTGGTAATTTTACTCATGATATAAAGACAAAACTTTTCAAACTTCAGCATCCAGTCAGCTGCAAAATCTGAAAAAAAATTAGTGAATATTACATATAAATATTTATCCTTCATGCTCCTCCCTACACATATATTAACTTATTATTATGAAGCAAAGCCAACTAACATCTGTCTCTATTCAAGCATGCTTGAAAAATCGGATAGTTTACAAGCTATGAAACATGTAAACAAATACTAGGTTTTTTAGCAAACATTCTGTGAAAGTGACATTACTAGTGCTTTCAAATCATGTACACTAGTAATCTCTTTGCCAATATTTTTAACCAGACCCTTTCAGTTCCTCTTACAGCAGTAGTAGATATACACAGTCTATAAAGTCATTTATGTAAGATGATTTTCAAAATAGTTCACATACAAAGGTCTGTTCATACACAGGCAGGCTGATGATAATGCTCCCCACTCACAGCACCTGAGTTTCTAGCAGATCCATGCATGCTACCCTCCCACATCACATACAGGTAAGAGCCAACAACTCTGAAGAAATTTGAGAACATAAATCACAAAACTGGACCTTTATCACTCAGCTCAAGTTGAACAGCAGTATCTTATTCAAAGTATGGCAAACACTGAGAAAAGATCCAGTGTTGGAAAGCAGTTAACAGCCTGTTTTTAAGTGGCGTATGAAGGCAGCTTTGCAGCCTCCTCAAGAATGGATGTTTCAGTGACGGCAGTTAAGGTCTGTATTTAGTGTATCTTGAGAAAGTTTCTTCCAATTTCATGAGATTGTTTTATATTACACAGTAAGATGAAAAAATTAATTTCCACAAGCAAAGCTAAGAACAAGTCATCTTAAAAAAAAAAAAAAGTCTCGGGAACCATGACTGTTTTTAAAATTTCCAAAATGTCTGAAGCACTTCTAATAATGCTTCAATTGATACCATGCACCTTAACCCTCACTACAGTGTGCTGTTTATTTTTTTACGCTGCAGTTCAGTGGGAAAAACTATTCATGCCATTTTCCATGAACAAGCTAGTAACTCCCATGTCAGTCGATATGCTTGATTTCTGACTGAAGGTATTATTAGAAGTTCTGGATGAAGGACCTACACTCGAACATTTACAACATGTGGGGTTTTTGCCTTGCAGTTTTATTTCTCTCCTCAACAGTAACTTCTATCTGGAGTAGTTATTTTCTGCTGTGACATATGAAGTATACATTCATTAACAGGTTTTAACTTTTAAACACTCAAAGAAAGAAGTCTCTTCCCAGAGCATGCTACATCACTGGTTGTTAGTATTATGACCTTTTTCAGCTGCATTAAGTAGAATATTGGGGATATGCATCATGTCTAGGCAGCAGTTGAGTGGGAAGAAAATGTGGAGGTCAGCACAGATGACAGTGTTGAGATGTTGCTTAGGAGTTACTATATGAGAGAGTGTAAAGAAAAGTCATCTTTCCACTGTATTCAGAACTGGTAAAGCCAAAATCAGAGTGCAAGATCCAGTTTTAGGGACTCAATTTAAGACAGACTTGAATTAAGATAGAACTCAAAGAAGAAACATAAGGCAGAATGCTGTGGGGCTGCAGAGCACAAAAAGCTAGAAGAGAGGACACATGACATGTCAGTCTTCAGAGAAAAAAAAGGCTGCTATGAAAAGCTGCAGAGACTTCATTACTCAGGTCTTAAAGCACTGATTAATGCCAAACACTCATTTGGAGTGGTATGGGTGTATCGAAAATGCCATGCTTAAAGCACAAGGACTGAATGAGTCCCTCAGATCCCATCCAGGCCTCTGAATCCAAGAGGCCACATTAAACGAAAAAGTTACATAAAAATATTACATGTAAAAGTTTAGCCTATCTTGGTTTTGCTTTTTGGTCATTTTTACCCTAAAGAAAAGGCTTCATACCAGCATTGTAACAACTACATCTAGGCAACATAATATTTTTTCCAACAAGCATTCACTGTGAATTCTCCTTGCTTTCCTAGGAGTCTTTTGGGTTTAGTGACCACCTTCACAATTTCTTTAAAATTTCATTAGTTCTGACTCCCACAAGTAATTGTTTCTTTCACAGATTCTGCCACCTGGGCATTTGCCCAACAAATTTGCCATTTACAGACAGAAGGACGGCCTAATAAAATTCCACATGTTGACAATCTGTTTCTTAAACTTCTAATTCATGACCGAACCATGATTCTCTCTTACATGGTGACAGGGCATCTTTTCCATGGAATGTTGACATCCAATACTCATTTATGTGTATAGCCACTGTTGCCTCTACACTTTACTTACAAAATTACCTTCTCTTCGGAGATGTGCAAGAGGAGAAAGAAATTATTATGTTTATAGCATATTTTTGATTAATTCCTCCTTGAGTTTCTCATTACATAGTATATATCCTGCACACAGACTCCTACTGATCTTCCTCGCTTAGAGCTATGGTGAACACTGCTGACTTCAAATGAAACTGCATGCCATTAGAAGCAAGGACTCTTATGTAAAAACTGTAATTTATCACAAAAGACTATCATATATCCCAGAGCAAGAAGCTCTAACACCATTTTCATGTCCCAATGTTTAAATCATCAAAATAACTCTGAAAAAGCCACAGCAAACAAAAATCCATGGTTATTCGGGTTTGGTTTTTTTTTTTCCTTAATATACCTCCACTCTAGCTTTGTAGAATTCAATATCATGCAGCCTCTCTTTATACCGGCTGACTTCACTTTCAAGCTTGTCAACTCGAATTGCCTTCTCACGAAGAGCATCTAATTCATCTCTGTACACTCTGGCAGAACGGGCATCTGAGAGTAAATTCATATTCTTGAAAACATGAAAATACAGAAATTAAAGGTAAGAATACTGGACAGTACACACAGGAGGATAACAGAGCTGCTTCATTATTTAAACTGGGGTAATGCGGAGGGATTTAAGTTAATTCTGAGAAAGGTAAAGAAAAAAATAATTTAGAGGCTCAGTCCAGATGATGTATTTCCAAGAAAACTGCACTGGCCTTTTTCAAGGAGAGGTATGTACACATGTGTACATTTCAGAACAGAACATTTCTTTTACAGATTATCTCAAATGACCCCAAATAATTTTATACACTTATTCCCAATAATAAATTAATCAGATGTTCTTCCTCCTTATCAACACATAGACTCAATGTGTAAAAAAAAACAGATAAAATTTAAGTGCATTGTTTCTGAAGAACATTCAGCACATATACATTCAGAGAATATTTTGGTGGTAAACTGTTTCAACGTGGAAACAAAAAAAATTAGAGAAGAGATACTAACTCAACTCAGAATATTCTTCCAGCATATTAGACCAAATAAAGGAAAAAATTACATGAGATTGTGTTCAGAGGGCAAGATGAAAAAATGCATGAAAACATACTTCCTAATATAAAAAAAAGGCAGAGGTGTGTCAATTGTTCTGGTGCTGGCAACTTTTTTTAAAACAATAGATTTCCAAAACAAATACCTCTTGCTGAAGTCTCTTCAGTTCACCTTCCATCTGTTCAAGTTCTTGTTTACAGTCAAGTAACTGCTCAGTCTTTTCCTCACTTAGAAGAGAAACACAAAACCAAAATATGACTACAAAGCTTGGTAATTATCTAGTTTGAGAACAAAATACTGAGATTCATGAAACTTCTCTCATTTAATCCAGACTTTCATGGGCATCAGAGTGTAAAACCTAGGTATATCATTATGCTTTAGGCTACAGTCTATATCTCATCTTTTCTATTTGGCCAGATTTTTTGTAGTCCTTAATTCTTGTTCACTAAGGTTTCCTACTTACGTGGGGCAGAAAACATTAGGGCCTGATAAGAGATTTTTTGGGGATAAAGGATTTCTTTGGTAAAAAACCCTCAGAATGTACACAGGAATATGTACCAGGAGATTCACGTCCAAAAGCAAATGTAGAATAATTTCAAAATATACATTGAAAAGGTCCAAAGATTTCCCAGACAATGATCAGTGATTCATCCTGTCACAGATCAGGTAAAGCCAATTTTAAAAGCACTTTCATGCTTTTGTCATTTTTCTTACAGAGAAGAATTAAAGGTTTTCAGATACCTTTACTCATTATAAGAAGATACTGCTTAATAACCATTTGTGAAATTCATAATGCATTTTAATTTTATGGAAACAACACAGTGTCTGTTTTAGTCTACTCAGAAATTTATAATAAAAACAATTGGGCATAGAATACCACCATTCTTACAGGACTCATTCTTCCAGCTAACACATATTTCCCAGTGCCCACAAAAGGAGTTCGTTAAACAACAAGGAAGCACAAGGGAAACATTTAATTCTCTCAAAGGCACAGAACACTTCAATTGCACCCCAGAATAAACAGTATTCACTGTTGAAAAAAACTTGCTGTATCCCATATTATATGCCCCTAAAAGATATATTGCATATTCAAACATGTTACTATATAACTTGATATTCTGGAACAGAAGTATGAAACAAAACAGAAGTAGAAAAGGGGGAAATAAGATAATTTAATGGACTGAAATGTAGAATACAATCTAGAAGTAATCATACTAAGAAAAAAATATATTAGTTTTAAACAAAGCTAGAATAGTTGTTTTTATAAATGAGCCCATATCACAAGTACCCTTCTGCAACCACCCATCATTTCAAAAAGGTTGTTGACAGCCTACAAGTATACCAGGATCCATCTACACACAGCTCCGTGCAACATCACTGTCCAGAGCAGATACCAAAGCTTTCCCTCTCCACAGGCATTCAGAAACCACACAGAAATACAAACATATTCTGTATTATGTTAGATTACTCTAACTTTTCTATTAGCATTCCTATTCCTGTACTATTGTTCTACATAGAAACACAATGGACTGAATATAGAAAGCTAGATGTGCAATTTCCAGTTGTGGAGTTTCTCATTACAAGCCTCAAATTGCTGTTTTGCAGCCAAAGGAAAAATAATCTTTACAAAGCTTTTGTATGAAATTATATTAGCTGCAACACATATTAAACCAGGTATGAGGGTTCACTGCCAAAACCAGATTATAAATAATTTTGAAGCAGAGTATTTTCAACCAGGGAATCAATCTAATTTTAAATTTATCAAATACATGCAGCACTTAATACCAAATGCGACAGACAGAAGTTATTTTATCCAAGTCTAGTATTTTAAATATACTGCTCCATGTAAAGGAAATTTATTTACGAAATGAATTTAAATAGAGTGCAAAATGTGAAATGTTCCGAGCCATCACTGTTGCCCTAATTGCATGCTTCAGCTACAGACTAGAGGGGATTGTACTAAATTATACAGAACATACCAGTGTTCACTGTTTAGGCTATCTATTAACTGTCAATCAAACTAATAACAGCAATTTTTTCACTAATTTTCTTGGTGCAGCTGTTTATAGAATATCCTGGGCGGGCTCATTTCAGTAGACACATAATAATACAGACATCAGAAAAAAAGAGCCATATCTTTTTGTCCTCTATTCTGCATGAAGACCAAGATGTAGTGGGGGAAGGGGATCCTCTGAGTAAATCAACCAGATACTTAATCCAGCCAGCTAGAGATGATCTGATCAACAAACTCTGGTAAGAGCAGACCAGCAAGCTGATAACTGTGATTTATGCTACCTTCAACTTGTAATTTCATTTTACCTGTCTCCTCTCTCCATGAAATATGATGGATTAAAAAAAATCTGCTTCTAACCTACAGGCAAGTTACATATTAAATCTCCTCAGATTTAAACATTTGTATTTTAAATTCAGACTGCACATACTTCACTCTGATAAAACAACATTACACGTTGCTGTAGGGAGAAACAGATTCTCCACTGGACTATTATTGTTCTTCTCTTTAAATAACTCTTCACTGCTGCTCAGATGTGTTCCTAGACTATGAAGACAAAGTACCCAATAATTCTTACTGAATCAGTTTTCTCCATAAAATAAAAGGGATAAATAAGTTTTTCATTAGAGTATGGAAAAAACCCAAAGGAATAAAGATGTTTGTTACAATGAGACTGAATTTTCACAGTACTTGAATGAGTGGAGGAGGGTAATATACCCCTGAGCTAAGAGGTCAGCACCTGGGGGAGAAGACAACACTCCCTTCACTGGCTGAAGGTAACATGCTGGAAAAGGTAAGAAACTTGAACTGACCCAAGTTGTTAAAATTAACTCATTTTACAAATTACATTCTTCTTTAGACATAAATAACCACCCCCTTGCCTGCAAACTCAAAGTCTCTTTCATTGCATCCAGGTTTGCAGTGGGTCAAGAGATTTTGTGGAGTTTGGTCTGCAAAATTTTCTTTTCAAGCTATTCTCTTAGAAACAGATGAATATGGATATATTAAAAATATAGTCAGACGTCCATTAATGATAACGAACAATAAAGTAAGCACAAAGGACTTGCCTCTGAAACAATATGGACACAATATGTTAAAAAAAAAAAGGCAATGCTGCATTAGACTAGCTATATTTCTAAAAGAGAATTTATGTAGAGCCAAGAGCCCATCACTGTATTGTAACATGCTCAAGAGATGGCTCCAATATAGTTAGTTTTTCAGAAAGTTCACAGTACAAAAGATACAAAATTACCACAGCACTAGTTCACTGATTTCAGTATGTTTATCGCTAAACCATCAATATAATTCATAATGCAAATTAATACAAACACATATGAAAAGCTGTATTTGTCACACTGGTCCACAAACATGCTTACATTATAAAACTACACTTCCTGAAGTCCAATAACTCAAAAAAGCATTTATAACTGTAATTTATCATTGGAAAGAATTAAGGATTTGTCTAGAGAATGCTACTATTGTGCAAAATCAACAACATGTTAAATTCTCAACACACTTCTGCAGCCTATGTGTACTCACAGCTCTTGCCTAAGCCTTCTTATCTTTGCTTTGGCATCTGCTAGCTCTACTGACAGGTGCTGTCTGCTTTCTGTGCGCTTCATGCCAGGAGACCCACAAGGTGATTGTGCTGCCGAGGCGTGAGGTAGAAAACGGAGACAGTCTCGTTCTTCTGAGAGTTCTATGATAGTCTAGGAAATTTTAAGAAAAGAAAAGAAGAGAGAAAAAAAAGTATAGAATTGCGTTCAGAGCCATTTATGTCAGCAACTAGTATTGTTTACTGCCTTAAAGACTGAAATGAAGCAAGAATTATGGAAAAGTTTTGCCCAGTACCATTTCACTATTCTTAAATTAGTCAGATTTAGACTTTTTTGTCCCCAAAATTATCAATGCCCAGAATGGACTGAGTAATGAAAGGGCACAATTCTTTGAACATGAGGATAAATATTTATCTCTAAAGAAACCGGTGTTCTTCAGTGAGCAGCAGCATCCTTGCCAACTGAATAAAGCATCTGGCCTGTAGGAATATTCCTATTTCATCATATAAATCAAGGTGTTATCCTATTATGAAGATCTCTTGGATTTTAAATTTAGTTACTTTTCCTCTGCATTGCAAAAAAGCATTGCCATGCATCCTCTCCCCTCATGGTTAAGTTTCTGCTTTATTCTCATTAAGGTTGTGAACTGAAAGACAGGTGGTAACTGTCAAAGGAGTATTTGGAATAATTGCAACATTAATATACACAGGTTCTACTGAGGGGCAAATCCGAAACCACCAAATGATTTGGAATTTGCAATTTTTATTAAATACATTTCTGTTTCTTGATTCTCACACAGTACAACGATTGTGCCTGGTAGTAAGCTTGTAAAACTTCCTCTACCAGTACGGATTCTGCTCCAGTTCACTCAAACCTGTACAATAGGATATAGTAATGTGAGAAACATCTTCCAGTGACTAGCCTGCAAACTGACCCATCACCAATGCCTGGAAACAGAACTGAAACAGTGTTGGATTGTGTTTTCAACGACAGGTGAATGTTAAAGTTGTTTCAGACTCCGGTTACATGCAAGAGACCATCTATTACTAGCTTCTCTAGTTTGTCACAGTATTCAACAACTAGTATGAGCGCTATGACTACCTGAAACAACTTCCTGGCATTAAGGAATCCTTGCTTAAATATCTAACAGAACATACATTAAACTATTAGTTATAAAAATGGCAAGCTGTAGCATCTTTAAAAAATTATTTCTTGTATTTCAATTAAGTAACAAATCAGATCCATACCTCCGAGTGCTCATCTCTTTCATCTATAAGTCTTTTTAAATGTAACGCCATATTTTTCAAGAGAGGTTCAACATATTCTTGTGTCAATACAATAACATCCATCCACTGCAGATCAAACACATTTTCCTGGTTATGAGTTACCTACACCAAATGGAATGGAAAAGAAGAAAGAGCCTCGTTAAATTGCAAGAGTAGAAAGGAAGCATAAAGAAAATAAAGCAGAAACTCTATGGGTGAAATTCTTTAGGCAAGTTATGAAAAAAACCATTTAAAATAGACTAAACTGTATGTAATGGAATATCTTCTTGTCTACCTGAAAGTACTACCTTGTACCTTGGGTAAAATAAAAAGTTAAAGATGAGTATGACATTGTATGTATTACATATCACATACATGGCACCTGAATTGTATTTTATAAATAAATTTGCATATGAAAGTTCTACTAAATTAAATTTGCTGTAATTCAATAAACTCTTGGACCAACAAACTTGCTCCCTGTTACTGCTTTAACAATGTAATCCAAAGGAGGTCAATCATGAAATCTTTTTGGGAATCAAGTTGAAAAATAAAAACATTTTCTGCCTACTAAAACCACTAGATATATAAATCACAGATTTTATTTACTTCCTTTTGAACAAACGCAGTTTATGTCCTTACAATACAGCATTCCACCTCAAAAAAAGTTTAAAGCACAAAAACCCCCAATCTACCTCTTGAATATGGGCTGCAACAGCTGCTCTAGTGTCAAAATCCAGACTTTGTATTCTTTCAATAAATTCTTCTTTTTTCTGACACTAAAAATAAAGACAACTATTTTATATACATTTATATATAATCACAATTATTTTCATTCTTACTTTGATTTCTGAAACCTAAAAATGATAAAGCTGACTTTACAATGATCACATTACTAAATCATTATCCAATAACACTGCTGACCAATAAATACTTGGTTTATGCCACATTACAGTAATTACAACTTTTAACACTAAGAAAATTATAAGGAAAATATAGGTATTGAAATAGGGCAAGGAAGATGTTTGTTAAAAGAGCTATTTATTAAGATTTTATGATAGTGAGTTCCACAAGCACTTTTTCAGCGTCCTCCTTTAATACGCAGGTTGCTTAAGTTGTTATGAACATATAACTGGTTCTATTTTTTCAGTTTAATTAGCTGAATGGTACAAACTTTCCTAATAAAAGCAGCAGTCTGTCAAACACGTTTATTTGATAAGTGAAGCACTTTCAGTAAGATAATTCTTCAGTACTTTACCATTTTCTTCCTTTCTTTACATTATCAGATAAAATAAGAATATTCCAAATAATGAACTATTAGAAATTCTTCACACCCAGTTTGCCATATTTGTACAGTAAAATGTAAGAGGTGCACAATTGTAGCCATTTTAACAGTAAGAATATCCAGATTTTCAAGGAATACAATAGTACCACTAGAGGAAGGAAGGTCAAAGTTATATACCACCTCAGGTATTAAAATAGTAAGAAAAGAGATCAGTAACACTTGAACCATTTCATACAGATATAAACATAATTAAACTTACCTGAACTGCACAACCAAGTAAAAGCAGGAGGAGTTTTTTTATTTCTTCAGTACCTGGCTCTAAGAAAACAAGACCAAAAAATGGTAAGTGTAAAATGGTAATTTCAGCTTCTTCCCCTACCCCTCAGAAAACACCAGGTTTTCTCATTATTTCATAAAATTAATGTTAACCTAGTTTACAAAGTGAAAAAGTTGAAGAAAACCCCATCTTTCCAGCTCTCAACTTGGTCCTCTTTGTCACTTCACTGCCAACTTTCAGTGTTAACAAATAGCTTAACTTCCATAACAATTTCAAATTAAAAACCCCATCATTTCAGGCCTTCACAAAGCAAAACTTCATCTTGACATTTTCAAAAGTGCTTTGGAGACCTACAACCAAGTTCACAAATGTAATCTCAGGTGTCTCGAGATAGTTACAAAAGCGCTTAAATTATTTGCCACCCCCTAGCTATAGGAGTTAGACCACACGTTCATTTAAATTACTTTATAAAGCTATATTGGATATTCATCCGCACATCTAAAAAATCAAAATGCATTTCTAAATCTGGCCTTAAGCATCTTAACTTCCTAAAGAAGCTTAAATTACTCTGTTTACAGATTAGTAAAGATGTTTCTTACTTTTTACATTCAAAATGTCCTCGTCTTGCTACTAAATATATGCTATAGCTAGAATATAAATGCCATAAAGCAAATGCTTTAAGGATGGCAAAATATCTTAGGCCAGTTGGAATTAAATTCTATATGGTGATGTATTGTTTTGCTCTACTGAAACAGAAAACACCATCCGTTGGGCTATCTAGGAGTAAGAGGGTCCTAACAGCATCATTTCTCCAATATACTCTGGATTTCAGCCAAGAGTTTATTTCATTGTGAGCTAAGCAGACAAAAGCTATGCTGTCAAACATCATCATGTTGGGCCTGGCTAGAAATCTGACCTTCCTTCTGTAAAACTGTACTCTGCCACACAGCTGGGATAACTACCACGGATACCAAGAGATTCCCTCTTGGTCCCAACTGCACACAGGGGATGTCTTACATGTACTACAGGACACAGAGTCATCTGGAACCTGACCTCAGTGACTCAACTGCCTTTTTTTCAAGGACTCTGTTGGTAACCACAGACCATCTCCAATGATCACGAGACAGTTATAAGCATCCAAAAGAAAACTCAATCAGAACCTTCCTTCCGAAACGGCAGTTTACAGTTGCCTTCTACATCAGGCAACTGAGTCTATTTTGGATAAATCCCCACATAACAAAGACGTAACCATACACTTACAAGCACTTGAAAAACTGTTCTTTCGTTTGATCCACTACAGTATTTTGAAAGGGAAGCAAATATAAAATCCTTCTCAAAAAGTTACAGATACAAGGTAATCTTGATCAAAAACAGAAATTAAAAAGAAATCAAGAAAATCCTAAAAGGAAACGGAACTCTTAACAATTCTGACTAGCTTTCAGTAGTCAAGCCTGCTGCCATAAAGCAGAGATGAAAGACATGCTAAGCTTCTCCACCTTCCTCACAGCTTCAGGAATTCTCTGTGCATTACAATATTAAGTGTATAAACTTTTTTCAACACGGACTCAACCTGTTCCTTTTAGAGGGAGATGTGTATAATCCCAGTGAACATGCAATGTTTAAATTTTTCAGAAAAGGTTTGTCAAGGAGATATGCCACGAAGAACATGAACTCAAATGGGAGATCTTTAATCATTTATACAGACTCCTTGTATCCCAAAGACTCGAGTTGTGAAGTCTTTCACATAGAAGTAAGAAACATCAATGAACATGTTTCATCAGAAGCACACTACTTCAACTGAAGAAAGAAATTCCACCTGGCTGCCTTTCTTAATCAACAAAGGTTAACCAGAATATTGTAACAGAAGGAATCCATGCCGACATCTCACATCCTACATTCACTTAACCCAATAAATTCATCACGCTTTTTTTTTTTTTGTTTTTTAAAAGCAATCCCCGAACTCCTCTTTGGATGCTGTTTGCACACTGCTTCAGCACCTCTTGACTGCCTTTTAAAAGCCTGCCTGAATATAATTTCCATGTCTCTCCCCTACGTTCTCTGAAGGAACACAGTAAAATATCGAACAACCCCAGCTTCCCACTGCTACCAACCATCGTGTATTTTTTTCTCCCTTCTTCTGCATCAAAAATACAGGAATAGATGATTCTTTTCTACACCCTCTAACTTGCTGCTTGAACTTTGTCCCTACCCTGTCCTATCCTTTGATCTTCGCTGCCCTCACTCTTATCCCTGACTTTATATCCTCTGTAGCCTTCCATCCTCCCCTGGCTTGCTCCCTCAGAAATATGAACTGGTTTTAATCTTTCCTCTTCCCCCATTAAAAAGCATTTGCTTCATTATTATCTCCTTTCTCTTTTTCCTCTGTAATTTAAGTTAACATTTACAATCACAGCCTGTAGCTCTTCTCCTCCAGTTTTCTCCTCAAACTGGCTTCCTGCCAATTAGCTCAACTGAAATGTTACTTGATAAAGTCTCTGATGACCTCTTTTTACCAGCATTCTATCTACATTCCCCTTGATTAGCCAACTGCCTCTGATACAAACATGTTTCTCTTCCTGAAATCTTATCTGACCTTGCCCTCTGCAATTTGTCATCTTCTGGTATTTCTCTGCTCATCATTCCATAAGTGCAAAGGGGAAAAACTAGGAAACATTCCTAAGAAAAATCACAGTAACGGCCTAAGCTTCAGTGGACCAAATCGTAACCACTACCAGACTTTTACTATGGGGGCTTGCCTTGATGTAGTCAGATTAATACAGCCAGTCTCTCAAAAGGTCACTGAAGTTGGATTTCGCTACACTTGCCCATCAGAGAAAAAAAGCTTAAATATCCCTACAGGGATGGGGTCCTCTTTAATTTAACACAGCAAGAGCAGGCTTAACTTTCAAGGGGAAAAGTCCTGGATGGAACCCCAAAGAACAGGTCTATCTTCTGATTTAGATCAAACTCCATGATGAACTCAAGCAGGAATCTGAAACACCTTCAAGAATATTGTCCATACATAACCAAAATTTTTACTATTAGGGGGAGAGCAATACATACACACTAGAGGTTCCAGATGCCAAACCACAAAAGCTGCATAGACTTAGCAGAGGTCCCAAAACAGGAAGAAGCTTTCTTATTAATGACTAAAGCATAGGGGTTTTATGTATACAACTGAATACTAAATTATCTTTGTGGGTTTTCGTAGTGCATTTTTAATAAAATTTCATCTTACACTACACAATGTTGTTACGATGTATTTTGTTGCACTATCTTAAGAATAAAAAAAATCATTACTACAAAACCAATACTATGACTTTTTTCTTTTTTAAATTTGTTTTTCAACTAAATCTGGTCCCTAGGCAAATCCATGGAGTCTTCCAAAAACCTGAAGAAAGTCTGGAATCAAAATATAAAAGCATAATGCATTCTGTTCTTTTGGAAGAGACCACATTCACACTTCTGGGTGCACACGATGGAATGCAGCATCTACACATGAAACTTAAAAGGCTGTGACCTCAGGAGCAAAAGCAGCAATATTCAAAAGCAGGAAGTAAAAATTAAAAAAAATTAAATCAAGATACCTACATAAATGGGATATATGCAGATGAGATATGGAAAGTATCAACATCATGAACCCTGAAATTGTCAAGTGAGGGAACACAGATGGTTCTTCTTGCTCATGAGAAATCTTGTCTCACGTACACAGAAGCATGGCATATAAGACATCTTAAATAAATAAAAAAAGCCAAGGGAAGCTACACAGCCTGTTAGAGTAGTTCCTAACCTCTCTGCTGAGGTGCTAGAACATCAGAAGTAGAACACCTGGGACACATAAGACCCAAGTAAATAAATTCTGCCCAATCCATAGTGGCTCCATGCAGGCCAGGTGTGTCTGCTCCGTGCTTCTGGAATTGAGAGCATGGTGCAGAGATTCCCAAGTGGCTGTGGATAGTCAGCTGGGTCCATACAGGCTAATTTTCTTGGTCTGAAAATTGCAACTTTCAGAGCTGGAAGCAGAGAAGGTGGGAGCATGGAGAAGACAGCGTCAGTTCAGGGGAGAAAGCAAAAAGGTAATTGCAATATTTTTCAGGTAACGATGTAAGAGAAGCAGGAGACTTTTGGGGGATGAAAAACAAGAATTCGGAGCCGGATCAAGTGAGATGCACTGAACTGCCAATTTTCTCATGAGTGGATTAGGTAAAGGAAGTTGACAGTGTAGTAGCTGGGAATACTTATATTTTGTCATATCAGTGGCTCACTGGTTGCTGAGAAATGCACTTTGTTTCAGTATAAATCCTAATGACAGCCAGTGCTGAGCTTTGGACAGAACACATTTTTGTAAGGCATGGACCTTGGGTGTGAACAAAGAAATTGTTACTCATCATAATAAAATCACTTATTTGCTGAAAGTATCTACACAAGCTTCTGTTGAAAGACTTAATCCTATAAGAACTGTATTACCAATGAAATAACAAATTATTATACCGATATAAAATTTAAAATTAAAAATATTAGGTTTATTATAAATAAACTTACCAGAAAAAGGATTTTTGCCAATTATTAACACATTTGGCAAAGACATCATGATCAATTGCTGCAAATTCTCCTATAAAAAATTAATTAAAATACTATTTAAATCATATATACATGTATTGAAGGGAAGCAAACATCAAATACTAACCACATCATATTAATTTCTCTTTAGTGGTAAGTAGTTTTAAAACTTTCAAAGTCTTCATACATACATGTTCAATATTGAACTATTTGGACTCTAGTTTAAAAGAAGCAACTTGCAAGTATGAATTACTTCTACAGAAGCCTTGTTTTACTGGTTTGCAAGATCATCTCAACACAGTAAAAACCTCTTGTGGGAATGAGCTGACTTATGGATCTTAAACCAGCTAGATTCTGTGCCTCAGAATGCAGCAAGACTCCTTTAAATTATTATAGTGTTGATGTTTCTCTGACCAGCTTAGTGATAGTTTTTATTGCCTCTAGGTTGCATTTATACTATTAAATATCCAACATCCTCTGTTTCCTATCTTGGTGGCCTCACCCAAATGGGGATGTGAATGTCACAGGTTTTTTCCTGCAGTTATCCTGGACATAAAGGTACAAAATCCTATTTGCATGATCAGGCAGAGTTTTAGCTTCTAAGTCGCCCCCGCTGGAGCAGCAGCTTTGCCTATCTAGTCTATAGATTGTATCAATGGAGAGTTCCTGCCAGCCAGTAATGGCTGTAATCGGGGCAAATCCCCAGTCTAGACAGAGCCTAATTCTTCTGAAGCAGAATAGTCTTCCTCCTGTTCCCAGATGTTTATTCACAGCAGATGCCATCCTATCAGCAGCTCTGGAGTCATGCTTTTGTTTTTCCACAGTGACAGGTTCATTAATACATAAAATGTTCATACTCCAAAGCAACATATTCCAGAACCATCGCTGCTTTGCATCCAAAAGGCACATATTATGGGTCATATTGTCATCTAAAAACCTAAGTCAACTCATTTGATGTCACATCTGAAAAATGTCAGCATTCTTGAAAAACACCTGTAGAAAATATTAGCTGTAGCTATACTTCATTATTCCAGTTATTAGAATAAACAAAAACATTCTAACTGAATTAATACTAGACTGAAAGATGTGTACTCTCATTGCACATGCCTAAGACAAATAGAAGGAAGGAGAAAAGTTTTGACCTTCTCAAACATCATGAATTTCCACCTACCATGACTCTTTGTACTTCTGAGTCTAAAGACAATTTTCAAATTAAAAAAGAGATACAAAGTGCATCACAAAGTTTTGAATCAATGAAGAACAGATAAAATATGAGGAATTCAATGAGTACTTATAGCTACTACAAAAGAAAATCATATACTTTGAAGAGTGGAGGCTTGATGGCTTTTTTGTTGTGTGGGTTTTTTTTGTAATAGCTCAAATAATTCCATGATGCCATTATAAAGCTTTTCTTACTGTGAAGCAGAGCAAACAGTAGTAACCAAGAAATGTGTCCTCCATGGACTAATGACATTAGCACCTCTTTTCTTACAACACCTCTACCTTGCTTCAATGTTTCCCACCTCATCTGTCACACAGTGTTAACTTCACCAGCAAGTTTGCTGTAACTGCTCTCAGTTTTTGTTTGTTTTTGAAATGACTGTGTCTATTAAAAACCTGAAATTGGAACCTGTGCAGCCCAAAATTCACGGACTTCTTTTAACTGTTGTTTAACCTGCAAAAATAAACTAAGCCTGTTTACAAAATTCTGCCTTGCTTGTACAGACTTTTAGAGTTCATTAGCATTTACTTTATTAAAGACTTTTACATCATGTCAAATGAGGCTGACAGAGCACCCATGAGTGTCATGGAAGCTCACTGTATTCAAATCTCCCAAGCCCACCAAAACTTATAGGGGGATCAGTTCTCCTGAGTCAGTTGCTGAGAACAATTGCACACTCTCATGCTGCCAGGAAATGTGTAGGCTCAAAAGACTGTTCTGAGACCTAGTAAGAGCTTGGTGATGCTGTGAGGAAGTTAAGTAGCTTTCCTGGAAAAAAAGATGCAATTGTAATTGCAGAAAAGAACAGATGACAAAGGAACCAAAAAAACTTGTAGAATTTAACATAACTTTCTAATTTTGAAAGTTACATTCTATCAGTGCAGGTTTTTTGACCAGTATATATACAACACTGATGCAATTATTTGCTAAATTGATACACTGTTTTCCACCCATGTTGTGAAAATATGTGGAGTAAACTACAATGGACAAGTTCACAATAAAAAGTTTTAGTTAGGATAACATAATGTTCAAAATGAAAAATCCCAGTATCTGTCACTAACTTATTCCTACTGTAATATTCCAGAGGTTAATCAACCTCGTAGCTCAACACAGCCGTTATTCTCTGTGTTGCCTTACTCTTGGATCTTGAGCAGGCTGCTGAGGACATGCAGGATGCCTGATGCCTGTGCAGACAGCTGCCTGTAGCACTGTGGCGTGCAGGCTCCCTCCTCTGCCAGGCATACCCTGGGCTGCGAGAGGCCTCTCCATGGATTACAAGGCATTCATTCATCAAGCACTGCCTTTTCTGAGTTGGGTCACTTCACAGGTGACAGGAACTGAACTGACCCCTTCTTGAAAGCGAGTTTGCTAAGCTGCCTTGCTAACCCATGCACAGGTTGTGGGAAACACGAGGTGCACCCAGACTGGGTGGAAACAAAGACTTCGGTCCATCCTGTAACACTTCTGTCCAAACCCAACGAACTATCACAATGCATAAACCTCCCTGTATGCATATGGGTGTACCTGAGTGAACGCCAACATATGCAAAAAGCCATTTGAAATCTCAACAAGTGTTCCAGTTAGGCTACTTAAAGGCTTCTACTCCTACTAAAATGCCAGACTTGTGATGTTTGCAAGTTCCCTCACGTGTACTATTCTGAAAAGGCTGCCATCTCACAAGACTGAAGTCTGCAAGACTGGGGAGAGAAAGGGGGAAAAAAGTGCGTACAGTTATCTATAGCTTACACTTACACAGGACAAACTTGAACCACTAAAGGCATGGTGACCTATTTTAACATGTCTTGCTTATTATTTTTAAAAAATCTCTATTTATTTCTATCGCAGAAGTTTGGAGCAACATTCACAATTCTGAATCATTCAAAGGTAAGTTACCTCAACGCAAGCAATTCTGCCTGATAGAGTTGTACTAAAACTGGCTGACACTGTAAGGCCAAAGCTGCCCCAGGAATGCTTTGTGTTCAAATAAGATCAATCCTGTCAGTGCTTGAGCCTTCTGTTGCACCAGTTGTGAAACACTAATGCCTGGTCAGAAAAGACCACCCTCAGGAAATGGGAAAGCACGTGGGTCTTAGCAGGCAGCACTTATGCCCACTTATAGTAGCTGCCATGTAATAATTTCTTCTATAGGTACAAAACTTGCCTCAGTTCAGAAAATACCAACCAATACTGCTTAATGCACTATATGAGTAACTGAACATGCAGAACATCTTTTATATAACCAGATCACCATTCACAGACAAGTGTTTCCAGATTACTACTATGGCTGTAAATTAAGCGTGATAAACAATTTGACCAGATTTATAAACAACCATCCCTGCAAGTATCTCAAAATATTAATCTTATTTTTGTTACCCTTAAAGGCATAACTATAAAAGAATACTTAGAAACAATTCCAGGCAAAACATAAGAAACAATTACTGACCTGATAGTAAGTTTTTATTTGTTTCACCAAAATAGACAAATTTTGAATCCTTAATGATGCATCATTGTTTACTTTTTTGTTTATCCTCTGATTAGCAGACTTTGGATTACTGGGGGGAAAAAAAAAAAGAATAAATTAAACACACTGAACATTAATCCTTGAAGCACTCTATCCAACACAAATGATATAGTTAATGTAACAGCGCAACAACTTCTTGCTTTAGTTACCATGCCCCTTTTTTTCCCCTCGACAAGTAAATAAGGAGCCATGGAAGTGACAGCCAAAGGCAGCAAGAAGTAACTTGAAATATCTGTGTCTGATAGAGGTACTCAGATCAGCCCCCTTTTTGGCTATTAACGCAGTATATAACTGGGAGCACCCATCCCCATTACAGGAGACTGAGGATGAGAAGAAAGGTTTTGTGGCTCTGCACTTCTCCACAAGCAGCCCCATCCCTGATGGGATACAGAAAGCTGTAACATAAATATTCCAGCACACACTGCAGACATCAGGAATCATTCTCACTGATGCAGACAATTACAAATAACAGAATTCAGTCTGGCTACATTAACAAATGTCTGTATACCCAAATACTATATACAATGCTATTTTACTACCATGAGGCACAAAAGCAGAATGTAAGTTTTAATTTTTAGAACCATAAGGAATATGAAATACATCATGCTAACACACCCTAAATTAAATTAGATTTATTTACAGATGACTGAAATCTGTCAACAAAGGGATTATTAATTGGAGGTTTTCTCATGTACTCGCACATACTACCAGATTTTTCTCTGGTTTATCTTGGCTTCAGATAGGAAATCAATCCCTTTTTCCTCCACAAAGTCAGAAGGATCTGAGGAAATGCAGATGAGTCACCCTTTTTCAATATCTCATAACATACCACGTTATTAGTCACATACAAGACAGCGTGACAACCACTCATTGTGATCTTTCAAGGAAAACAATGCAGAATCAATGCAGCTCACCCACAATACCCTGTAAAAGGCTGAGAGAATTCAGAAGTGATGGCCAATGTAAAGTTTAACTTTTACAAAGATACTTGAGACAGTTGCACAACACAACTTTTATTAGTTAATGATACTATTTGTATTGTTTAACGATATCATCAGATCAATGTGCAGCTGGCTGGAGTACTGCACTCAAACAAGAAACTACCAACTTCTCACTGTCAAATTGGAGGTTCCCACAAGGGTGTGTGCCTGCTGGGCCTGGTTTTATTCAACACTGTCATTAATGATTTAAGACAATGGAACACAAAAAACACTTAGCAGAACTGCCATTGGCAAAAATTGGGAGGAATTAAAAAAACCTAACAAAAACCAAGAAAACCTTCAGAGAACACTATGACAATTGAGAACAACCCTGATAAAGTACAAAAGTGGTGTGACAGCAGTATAAGGAACTGAGTAACAACATGTTCAGGCAAAGGATTAGACTTGGGAATCAACTGCAGAAGGAGGAGTAACTTGCTATAATGCAGAAATTACCTGAATATTGTAACAGACACAACCAAATACCAAGGGAAAAGCAACACCACTGCCCAAACCCGCCCTGATTTGTCAATTTTCTAGTACAAGTGCTGTCTAAAAGAGAAGTAGCTATTCTATACATGGTACAGAGGATGCTTCATTTAGTGTCACACTTCAAGGCAGGTCCACATCTGTACAGACTTTTTCCACAGGAGAATCACTGGGCCCTAAGCAGCACACAAAGGCTCCTCCCAGGCCTCCCCTCAGTTACTTGGGCATACCATGTTACTGGGTGACACACACAGGTACCCCTGTCCCTGGAGACTGGGATCTGCTGATTGACAAGCACATCCTTCTCAGAGCAAGCTCCTGCAAGATTCCTTTGGAGGGGATGGAACAGAGCAGCTTACAGGTCAGCACAAATTGTCTTGGCAGGACACTGAGGCCCTGCAACCTGAAAGCCAGATACTAGGGATGCACACAAATTGAAGGTTGTGCAAGGACACCCCAAAAAGAACATGCATCATGAAGAATATGTATTTTATTTAAAGAAACAACCCGAGTAGTCGACGAGATCATCAATATACACGTGATTCATATGTTTCTATATAGGTACTCAACTCAACTGTAATGTCCAAGTGTCAACAACCAACCCTCGCAAATGAGCTACTCCCTCTACTCCACTGAACACAGAATTATCATGATTTATCTTGATGCAATTTATCACTTTGGTAGTTTCACATGCTTCCTGCACAAGTGTCACTACAGACAAATTTTACATATTTTTAATTTTAAGTTACCTAAACAAACTTTTATTTGCCTTTTACAGCTTTCTTTGGTTTTAGCGTGTTACGACTTTTTAAAAGACACATTTATGTCTTTTCTTCAGTTTATTGCTATCAGAATTCCCTGGCCTGTAAGCATGAAATAGTGTAGAAGAAACTAGATAGAAATAATGTAGAAGTATATTAGAAATAAAATTGAAATAATGTAGAAGAAACATTTCTGGGAGAGGAAGTCAGATCATCTACAACCCACACCTCTAACACACTCATTTTGACAAGAAAAGCAGTAAGCATAACATCTTTTTTTCTCATATATATGAATATAAATCTAGGAAAATTAGGACACAGACCCTTACACAGGTAATTGCCTCATTCCTAAATGCCCTTCACCACATTCTTAAAAATACTATAAACAATTACAGTACATTTTAGCATATATTAGCCAAAACTATGTGATTAAGATGTCAATCTGGATTTATTAGTTCAGCCAACCTGTAGCTGCAGAAGGAACTAAATGAGCTAAGAGTGATTATGCTTTGCAGATGTGCAGAACTGAACTCCTTTCCAAACTGAATTCGTTCAAATTTGTTAAAATCAGAAGAGAAAATCCAGGATAAATCCTGCTGACCTGATGGCATACAGAGATCAGCTGAAGTCTCCTATTTCTACATTCCTCTCTCCAAAAGGCCGATTTGGGCCCTTAATCTTCATCTTTAATCTTAACGACTATCGGATTATCTCCAGGCTTTTTCATCATCTTCAGCAGCATTTCTACAGTCATACATTTTAGATGACTCTCCCTTTAGTGCACTCAAAACAGAGGGCACTGGAGTTTCCTGGATATTGTAATAGCTCTTATTTCACTATCAGCACAAAAATTACTGTGCAACCACAAGAATTCAAAACACAAGTGTTGTAAAAGCTCAGACTACACTTTCTCATTTCAGAAGCTGTACTAGATATCTTGTGAGAACAAAAACTTGAACATTTGCATAGCACTGCAGCTTCACAATGGCACTTAACAGAAGCCTTTACACACATAAGACAAATTGTTACTATCCCCATATAACAAATGGGAAATGAACACAGAAACAAATTCCTCAACAACCACAGAAACAATCAGTGGCAAGCATATCTATGTGAAGGAGGAAAAAAAATGGGCAATTAGAGCCCGAAGATTTCTTAGGACACAAATTCCTAGTTCCACACCTTTGTCATCACCATAATTGCTGGACAATTATTTCACTACCAAGTCTTGCACACACCAAAGATGCAGCATGTGAACTTTGAGTTTTATTTGATGATATGAAAATTAGTTTTTTTAATTAGAAGCCATAACATCTGGTCAATATCAGGAACTGTAAGGTGTCATTGTACTTATACTTGCACTTTGCTTCTGAATACTAGCATTTCTCCTCACAGTCCAAAAATAAATAATTCACATTTCTCAAATGATGCACTAACAGATACGGAACCTGAGCACTTTTAGAATACTTTAGCAGACACTTGGCAACAGTACAACAGCAAATCATTCTTATGTTTCATCTTCATCCTAATCCTCAGAAATTCAACAGTGTACTAACAAAGACCATCAGAAATTCTGAGGTATAAGTTTTGTGTCAAAGATAATGTTGATAAATATCAACGATTCGTTTAGATATTTCAACCACTTTTGAAAGTAAAGCAACATTCCTTTACTTCCATAAATTCACCCACGTATCCCACTCCTCCCAAATACAGAATTTTTTACTTTTGTTTTTTCATGTGGTACGTATCTTCATCTATCAAGACCAACTCAATGACTGACACACATTCCTTATGTTTTATAGAAATTCCAGGCTTATTTTTTGATAAAAGTTACACTGTTCTGGGTCAAAATTATTCATTCCTGTATCTTAAAACAGAAACCATTCCACTTTTTTTTTTTTTTTTTTTTTTTTTTTTTGGCATGAATTGCAGGAAACGGTTTACAGGGACTGTGAATTTTGCAGGGAAGGCTTGGGCCACAGATGTGCTCTGGAATTGTATCTTTACCACTTGAAAAAACTCACAGCCCAATCACATGGTCCTTTGCTAGTGCACAGTATCAACAATTAAAATCAGAATGTTAGCCTCAGGACAACCTGGTGTACAGAACATATGTACTTTAATAATCTTAAATTTTGCCAAAAGATTATGGTGACAGGTCCAACAGAAACACAAAACTCAAAGTTCTCTTAATATTTTTCAGCAGAACTTGAAAAGAGTTTATGGTAACAAGAAGTTTAACCCCTTGCTCTTGAGCATCAATAAAATTAGCTTACTTAAATATGAGTATTAACATTATTAATCTCTATCTGTCATTTTTAATGGAATTAAACATGTAGCCTCAATAACTCACTCTAGTTAGTAGGAAAGTTTTACTTCTTGGAATTTATCACTTTTTAGTAAAGACTGTTGTGCTGGCTCATTATTCTTCAAACAGGGGAGGAAAGTTGTCTTTTGGCAGTCTCAATCAGTACATGTTAGCAATGACCAGGATGACTTTTACTTGGAAAAAAATTGTTTCTAGCCTTTCCTGAAGTGAAATCCTGCTCTCAATACCTTCCAGTGCAAACAGGACTTCACCTCTGTACTACAGTAACTTACATCCTTCTAACCACATTATGTCATTAACTGATACTTTACAAACACAGACTATTAATAGGCTACCTACAAAAATGATCCACATGTTGAAAAGTAAACATTTAAAATAGAGGCCACTTGGTAGAAGAATCATTCAGTGTTTGTATTTACCAGTGTTCCCTATTCTTGCACCATGCACTGTTACTGAAAGAACTGTGATTAGG